CCTCCAACCTAAACCTCTTATCCCTCCCACCTAAACCTCTTATCCCTCCAACCTAAACCACTTATCCCTCCCACCTAAACCTCTTATCCCTCCAACCTAAACCTCTTATCCCTCCCACCTAAACCTCTTATCCCTCCAACCTAAACCACTTATCTCTCCAACCTAAACCTCTAATCCCTACAACCTAAACCTCTTATCCCTCCAACCTAAACCACTTATCTCTCCAACCTATACCTCTTATCCCTCCAAACTAAACCTCTTATCCCTCCAACCTAAACCTCTTATCTCTCCAACCTAAACCTCTTATCTTTCCAACCTAAACATTTTATCTCTCCAACCTAAACCTCTTATCTTTCCAACCTAACCCTCTTATCCCTCCAACCTAAACCTCTTGACTCTTCAACTTAAACCTCTAATGTATATAACCTAAACCTCTTATCTCTCCCACCTAAACTATTTCCATCATTACCGGGCACAAAAGGTTAAGGAAAAACAGAAAATTCTTAGTGTAAAAGGAAAAAAGAGTTTAAAAGAGAAAATAAATCACTGTGTATACTTGTTACAAAGAATGGACTGCACTGTGGGTTAAATGTATAAAAACTGCAAAATAATGCTAAAAGACCGGTACAACAAATTATATATAATCAAAGAATGGACTGCACTGTGGGTTAAATGTTTAAAAACTGCAAAATATTGCAATAAGACCGGTACGGCAAATTATATATAATCAAAGAATGGACTGCACTGTGGGTTAAATGTTTAAAAACTGCAAAATATTGCAATAAGACAGGTACGGCAAATTATATATAATCAAAGAATGAACTGCACAGTGGGTTAAATGTTTAAAAACTGCAAAATATTGCAATAAGACCGGTACGGCAAATTATATATAATCAAAGAATGAACTGCACAGTGGGTTAAATGTTTAAAAACTGCAAAATATTGTTAAAAGACCGGTACAACAAATTATATTTAATCAAAGAATGGACTGCACCGTGGGTTAAATGTTTAAAACTGCAAAATATTGCTAAAAGACCGGTACAGCAAGTTATATATAATCAACAAACTGATTTAGATTAAAAACATATCCAAAATCTCAATGTCAATACGAAAGATTAAAAGAAAAATATTGTTTATAATCCTTTAAAACAAAGTTAAAAGTGACTTCAAGTGGCAAGTTAGATTTAAAAGTCTCTTTTTTTATTGAGAAATTTCAATTGATAATAATCCATTTTCAGCAAGAAACATTTGAATATCTCATTCATCTTTGATCAGAAAAAATGTCTATAAGATATTATTGCTTATCTAAAATACCACTCTTTAAATGGAAGATAACTTGAAGTGTCGACTATAAAGTCCATTTTACCAATTTTCATTTTAACGATTCAATATTACAATATTCTCTGTAAAATGTTAAATTAATTTATTTTGGTTTGAAATCAATTTTCAATTGTTAAGATTAGAATTAAACTTGTAATTGAAGATTTGATATTTAAACTGATTGATTACACTTCAAACCTATGAAATATTCTATACATGTGTAACAACTAAAGTATACAGAGATAACGGGAAATGAAATTCTACCGTTCTGATGTTATTTGCATAACAAAAAGCCGACACCCAAACTAGCAAAATATATCTAATATATATATATATATATTTACAAAAAAGAAATTGAGTCTTTGCTAGTCCCTATACCCTTACAACCTGATTGTGCGTAAACCTTTGATATTTCAAACTTAGCTTTTTTTGATCTAATAGAATTCATAGTTTAAAATATTTAAGGTTCTTCGACATTGTGTTGCAAAGATACAGGGATTAGAAAATCAAAGTTTGTGACTAAAACTCAATTCCTTTAGAATTCATGTCCTTTTGTTTAATTTCTACTACGAGCTGGATAATAAGATAAAGATAAAAATAAAGCCATAATACTTATCTGAAAATAGTTTGTTATATCTTTTTATTTCAAGATTTTTAAAATTTTAAAACATTCATCCTTCATACCATTGTAAACAGCCTTCTTCTTATAAACATACCTTTACCCTTGTAAACATACCTTCACTCTTGTAAACATACCTTTACTCTTATCAACATACCTTTACCCTTGTAAACATACCTTCACTCTTGTAAACAAAACCTTGTAAACATACCTTCACCCTTATAAACATAACTTTACCCTTCTAAAGATACCTTCACTCTTGTAAACATACCTTTACTCTTATCAACATACCTTTACCCTTGTAAACATACCTTCACTCTTGTAAACATACCCTTGTAAACAGCCTTCACCCTTATAAACATAACTTTACCCTTGTAAAGATACCTTCACTCTTGTAAACATACCTTTACTCTTATCAACATACCTTTACTCTTGTAAACATACCTTCACTCTTGTAAACAAAACCTTGTAAACATACCTTTACTCTTATCAACATACCTTTACCCTTGTAAACATAACTTTACCCTTCTAAAGATACCTTCACTCTTGTAAACATACCTTTACCCTTGTAAACATACCTTTACCCTTGTAAACATACCTTCACTCTTGTAAACATACCTTCACTCTTGTAAACATACCCTTGTAAACATACCTTTACCCTTGCAAACATACCTTTACCCTTGTAAACGTACCTTCACTCTTGTAAACATACCTTCACTCTTGTAAACATACCTTCACTCTTGTAAACATACCTTCACTCTTGTGAACAGCCTCTTTAATCAGAACATACTCTCAGTCTAAATTCACAAACTTCCTAATTGTTCTTAATTTTCAATGACTTGGTAAATACATAATCCTGTATTCCTGTAATCCAACCCTAGAACTATCATCCTGCCAATATTTACATATATTCATACTACAGGAGCCAAGATCCCCCTCTTCACCTTTAATATCTAGAGATCAGGATATATCAAACCCTTTATACGAGATATACATATATCAAACCCTTTATACAGGATATATATATATTAAATCCTTTATACTGGATATACATATATTATACGGGATATATATATATTAAATCCTTTATAAGGATATACATTTATCAAACCCTTTATACGGAATATACATATATATATTATACGGGATATATATATATTAAATCCTTTAGACGGGATATACATTTATCAAATTTTCTATAAAGGATATATATATATCAAACCCTTTATACAATATATATAGATCACACCCTTTATGCGGGATATATGTAGATTATACCCGTTATACAAGATATATATACAAATTAAACCCTTTGTAATATATATATAGATCAAACCCTTTATACTGGATATATATAGATCAAACCTCTTATACAGGATATATATATATATATTAAACCCTTTAAACAGGATATATATATGAAACCCTTTATACAAGATATGTATATAGATCAGACCCTTTATACAGGATATATATACATATATCAAACCCTTTTCTCGTTTCCCGTCCCCTTTTCTATGAACAGTTTAAAAAATTAGCCTTTAATTATTACTTTTCAAGCTCAACTAATAAAATTTAAAGCCTGTATTTTTCTGTTTACATTGTTGGATTTTCAAAAAAACACAGAAAAACCAAAAATACATGTGTTTATAGATTGTGGAATCAAATAATAGAACACTATTAATAAATCCGTAAACTTTGATTAAATAAAATTTCTAAATGAGCATTAATATTAATGAGTCTATATTTATCTACTGCAGCATGCAGAGTTAGTTTTATCTCCAGTTTGCATAGAATAAGTCGAGTGACGTCACATAAAAGGATTATAAAACACAGGGTAATTGTGGAAACTTTTTGGTGACACCCCCCCCCCCACCACTCCCATCCAATTCTTTTCATTTATTTTGCATTTGAACAATTTTTTTTTTAAATTGGAAATTCCCTCACTCAGCATCTCCCCTGCAGAGTCAGCATGGTTTTTCCAAATTTACACATTTTTTGCAAGCTTTGTTCCATTTCACAAACAGCAAATCTGATAACTCGCAGAATTTTGCTGAGTGTTGCAGTCCTCTGTAAATCATTGCAAAGTTCAACAGGATTGCTTAGAATTTAAAGGCACGGTTCACCAAATTTGTATATTTTAAATTTTGTTATTGATTTTAAGGTTTCAAACCAATAAGTGTAATTACTTTTGTAAATTTTGTACTTTTGTAAATACAATAAATGATAGATGTATGCGTTTTTTATTTATAAAAACAATACAAAAAAATATAGAACTAACTTTCTACAACATATATGGTGAACTGTATTTCATAACTTTATAGGATTTCTAAACATTTACTAAACGCTAATAGGAACCAAACTATTAACTATATTCTCTAATAGAAAATTATATGTTAAATCATTATATTTAAGGAAATTTACATGAAAAGGTTTTCCTTCTAAAATGCAAATTTTCCTTCTCTGCTAAAAAGGGATCATTAACGGGTTTTATAAGTATAATTGTGCGATATCTTTATATCCTCTTCACTTTTTAGTCCTCAAAGAGTGGGGATACAGGGCTACCCACAAAGGATGAGACTGAGAAGACGACCTGAAACGCTTCAAATATAACGATATTATGGTGGAACAAAATCTTCTGACTTAGAGATAGTCTTTAATGACTTATTTAATGATTTGGCAAAGAAAGTTTACAGTTGCAGGGAATAATAAATATAGACAGTAAAAATTCCGTGCATTCGTCCTTTGTGGGTAACCTGTATGAAAAAATACAATTCTGTCATTTTTTTTAAAGCAAAATCCACACGTAGACCTTACTACAACAAAGTACATCATATCTGTATCGGAATATTTTCAATCAGATTTTAATCTTAAATTTAAGATCTGTCGAAAATAGCCTTATATACTTTGATATTAAGAAAACCTAGCAAAAAAAGTATAAAATAGCAAAAAAGAAGAATCTGCATTCAAAGCCTTAAACTACTTTTAATTTAAATCAACTTTTTTTCCTTAAATTTTTTTTTCCCGATTTAATTCTATAATTGATATAGTTTATCTGAAGAATGAATTGAGATGAATTCTCAATATTCTCTGCTCGGTTTGTTCCTGCTCCAGGTGGTGCTGGGAGCTGGCTACGGAGTTCAAGATGATCACGAGGATACAGATACAAGAAACCAAGACAGAGTTGTTTTCCCAGATGAGACAGATTCAGGTGAAGTAACACTGTCCTTATCATTTCAAGAAAACTTGAATGTTTTGAGAACAAGGGTAAAAGGATTAAACGAACCAAAAAACGCGCAACAAATGGAAATTCAAACTGGAACTGTAAATTCTTTTATAATTCATGTACAGGACAGACAGTACTGTACACACTCTAGAAATTCTTGTGCCGAACATGTGAGAAAGTACTAAGTTTAGAATTTTATGTACCATTGACTGGCTTCATGGATCCTGTAACAAACTTGTAATGCTTGTACCGTACTGACTAGATTAGCTAGACTGCATTGTAAAAGTTCTTGTACCGATTTTACAATGTACAGGAAAGTGTAAATCATCGTAAAAATTTGCTTCGCTCCTAATTTCACGTTTTCTAACAATAGTCAAATATCGGTCAATGTCCAGAGTTGAAAGATTTTGATTGGCTAAACCCGTGGACTCCGAATCTTCTAGTGTATTACAATTCAATCCTTTTACCCTAAGCTCAAGCTATATAAATACCAAGCCAGGACAGTGCTATTCCTAAGTCCAAGAAAGAATAATACGAAATATCCAGTTGAGCGCTCAACTGAGGAAATCAAGGAAATACAAGGGAGGTAAGAACGGGGGAATTGGTTTTGAAAAGGAAATATTTGATGTAATTAAATTGTTTTTATTGATTGCTATAAACATAAGAAACTTAGATCATCATATTGGAATCATTAAAAAAAACACATTTATCATAACGTTTTTAAAAGGAATTAAGTCTTTGTCACAAACTCTGATTTTCTAATCCCTAAATCTTTGCAACCTAATGTCGTAGACCTTATATATTTCAAACTATGAATTCATTTAGATTTGCCTTATCAGGTTGCAAAGATATAAGGATTAGAACATTCAAGTGACTCAATTCCTTTGTCTAATTATTATGTAAAACTAATATAAAACAAGATTTCTATAGGCTGCCGTGATCCTGTTCCTCCCAGTGAATCCATTCTTAAATGCGCCCGGGGAGTTGGATCCTGTTTTGTCAAGTGTAAACCTGGACACGCCTTCCCCTCTGGCGCAACCAAGACCGTATTGAAATGCGAGCAGGGTGAGTGGTTTGACCAGCGCACCGGGCAGGGTCAACCTATACCTGACTGTTTGCCGGTGTGTGATTCTCCTTGTAGAAACCAGGGTATCTGTGTCAGACCTAACGTTTGCTTTTGCCAGGTAAAGTGAAAACCAATGTAAAGCGGAAGGATTGTCGTCTTAGAAATTCCAGTGGTATTTTGTACTTCCAACTTTCGGGTGGTTGGTCAGGTCCAACATGTTCTACTCCACCTACCCCTAGATATACTGGACCTCCTATTCTTATCTAATTTTTTTACTTTAATAATTTATTTTATTTAAATTTTACAATATTTTTAAATATCCATATTATATCAGATGGAAATATTAGAGTTTTCTATATTTCTTGTTCTTAATTTTTTTCTTGTTGGTCCATCCTTCAATCATACTTCAGCTAATTTTGAAAATAAAAAGAAAGAATTTTGTTGGATGTCCTTGTAGTTTGCCATGTTACAAGTAAGAACTATTTTTGAATGATCTTGCTTTTTTCTAAGCCATCAATTTAAAATATCAATATAAGTATAATAGAAAGTTACTGTTTGTCAGGAGTAGATATCAGATGTGATTGCAGTTCTTAATATTTTTTTCTGATTTAGGAATGTCTTGACTCAACATATCTTTTCAGCAGCAATTAAATACACTGTTCTAAGGTTTCTAAGTAGGGTAGAATAATTTTAGAAGGGGGGGGGGGGAGGATGTCTCCTCCCCTTCCCTAATGGGGTCTATATTCCCTGTCGGAAAATATGACAGTGTACAGCTTGACACTAGAGATTCCCTTCCATTTTTTCCTTCTCCTGTTCAATTTTCTTTTTTTCCTGTTCTTTATTTTCTTCTTTTTTCTTGTTTAGCTTGTTTTTGCACTTTAAGACCTTTCCAAATAGTCTTTTTAACATCAGAGTTGTGGAAAAGGTAGAGCAGAGAGATTAGGAGATTTGTAGGAAGAAGAGTATAGGGAATTGCTTCCTGTGTTCCTTCATTTTATACTGTTTCCCAGTTAGGGGAATTATAAGGAAACTCATAACTGCACCCCTTATGTAAAATGAGGAGTTGTAAGCCCTGTAAAGCCCTCTTAAGGGGAATCTTCTTTAGCAGTCCAGTCCTCAGTCCATTCCTCACAGCCGGTTGAGTAAAAAACCAGTATCATTGTGCATGTATACCCATCAGGGGCTAAATTACTTCTTTCATCTCCAGTGAACCCAGAAAACACAAAACCAGAAAGGAAAGTTTTAATCTATGTATAGTTCTTGCTTCCCCTGTAGTATACTAGATGCGTTGTTGTTGTTGTAGCTTCATCCTGGGTCAGGATCTTCGAGTTCTTCCAGTCCAAGGAAATTAGAGGCTTCTATAGGGTGGGTCCATAGGCTGGTGGTGGGGAGGCTGGTTGGATTTGCATGGCAATTAAAAAGGTGGTTTGTATCGTGAGGAGTGGTTTCACATTTGGGGCATTTATTTACAATTTTATCATCTAATCGGTTGAGGTAGGAATTAAAAAGTCTTGAGAAGCCACTCCTGAGTTGGGAGAGTCTTAATCTGGCGATTCTTGTGAGTTTAATTTCATCAGGATTGATTGGAGGAGGGGGGTTATAATCCTGGCCGAGAACGCGATTTTCAAAATATTGTTGAATGGTTTTCCTGACTGTTTCTGTGTGTATGTCTTTGAGGACTCTTTTATAATCTTGTTTGGTTGGCTCTTGCTCTCTGAATCTGTGTGTAACCTCTTCTGTGTAGATGTTCATGGATTTTTGTAGTTTCATTTGACGAGGGGGTTGAGGTCTGTTTAGGTGTTTATTACCAGGGTGAGAGAGCCTTCACGTGGTGCAACCGACAGTGCTGCGAAGCACTGCAAAGCCTCTCATCAAACTCTTCAGTTTCTGACAAGGAACCAAGAGATCTTTCAATACTAGATGCGTAACTATACACAGCGCTCTCCCGGCTGCAGTAAGGCTGGGACAAGGCCGGGACCCATATAAGATAGGTCCTTTCTCTCTGAAGTCAATAAGGCAACTGCCTCTTCTAATCTAATATTTAGGGTGGTTGGTCAGGTTCAACATGTTCTACTCCACCTACCCCTAGATGTACTGGACCTCCTCCTGCTCCTAAGAATGCCCGAATATTCTGTAGTGCAAGGTCCAGAAAGTACTAAAGTATCCTTATCATTTTAAATATAAAAGTTGGTGTTCATAAAATCTTTCAACGCAATTGAATTCAAAAAGGAATTAACGTCTATATTAATGAGTCTATATTTATCTACTGCAGCATGCAGAGTTAGTTTTATCTCCAGTTTGCATAGAATAAGTCGAGTGACGTCACATAAAAGGATTATAAAACANTGATTTAAACCTGCATCTGGTTTGTAAATGAACTGTTAGATTAAACAGTCAACTCGTGAAATATTAATGATTTAAACCTGCATCTGGTTTGTAAATGAACTGTTAGGAATGTACTGCGACCTGTCTACAAGGGCACAGGCTACCAACTGGAGATGTAAAGATGACCTTCACGTGTACAGCTGGTAGATGGTTGTACGGTACTGCAGAACAAATCCCAGATTGTACACGTAAGTATTTATCCTTAACTAATCAAATTCCTATTAAACTATAATTTCTTGCATTTTAAAGAATTAAAAATTCAAGAATATTTCTATTAAAATTAAAATCCAAGTGTTGATGCCTCATAACTTTTTTCAAATTGTATTTAAAATTTCATTAAGTTTTGAAGTCATCTGATCTTCATGCATGCTCTTTTCTCAATTTTACTGAAATTCTATATGCAAGCTAATTAAATATTGAAGAGGCAAGTCCACCAGCATAGGAACTGATAACTCACCACAAACTCAAATTATATAATTCCTGTGTCTTTTCAACCTGGTGTCATAGACCTTCGATATTTAAAACTATGAATTCTGCTGCAGATTAAAAAGTCCTCAGAGCGGCACATTCATTTGCATCATGGATGTAAAGAATTTGAGTCTTTGCCACAAACTCAAATTTTCTGATTCCTATATCCTTGCAACCCAATGCCGTAGACCTTAGATATTTCAAACTATGAATTCTGGTAGATCAAATAATCTAAGTTTGAAATATCAAAGGTTTGCACCATCAAGTTGCTAAGATTTAAGGATTAGAAAATTTGAGTTTGTGACAAAGACTCAAGTCCTTTCCTCTCTTGGCTGAACATTGGACAAAAGAAACTAAAACAACTTGTAAAAATATTCTTAATCCCTGAATCTTTGCCAACTTAATGTTTTTAACTATGGACTGTTAGATTAAACAGTCAACTCCTGACATATTAATGATTTAAACCTGCATCTGGTTTGTAAATGAACTGTTAGATTAAACAGTCAACTAGGTTTGTAAATGTTCAAACAGTCAACTCGTGAAATATTCTTAATTTAAACCTGCATCTGGTTTGTAAATGTTCAAACGAATTGGAATTGGTAAAATTGATTCAACTACCGCGCAACAGCTCAACTGTTGTTTTTATCCGGAACCACGTTAAATTCGAAAAGTCAAATTAATATTTTTTAGCCAATATTTTTTTCAAAACTATCCTTTATTTTAAGTTAAAATATGTTTTTCAACATATAACATGTTGTTAATGTATACTTGCAGAAGTACTCGGAGAACCATATGCTCATCATATCAGTCTTTATAATTTGTATGTACGGTGTGGTTTTCACTCCCTTCAGTCTTAATTGTTTTTACTTTAAATCTTGCTGGAACAAGCCACATATTTTACCTTTGGGAAAAATGTTACATTCTTTAAATGATTACATCTCGCTACTTGTTACAATTGGGAAAAATGTTACATTCTTTAAATGATTACATCTCGCTACTTGTTACAATTGGAAAAAATGATTACATGCTTTAAATGATTACTACTTGTTACAATTCACTTCAAGCGAAAAGGTGAAATTGAAATATTATATATTTTGGATAGTAATTTTCCTTGTTGAAGAACAACAAGTTTTGATTGATAATTTTTAAAATCAAACCTAGAAGAGCTACAATGTCACAAAGTGGTACCAGTGCTCTCGCATAAATTTAACCACCTTCTTCTGGCTTGTTTGCAGTGAGTTTGGCCTTCTTTTGATGGAAACCATACACAGTACGCAGTACACAGTACACAGTACAAAGTACACAGTACACAGTACACAGTACACAGTACACAGTACACAGTACACAGTACACAGTACACAGTATACTGTACACAGTACACAGTACACAGTATACTGTACACAGTACACAGTACACAGTGACAGTACACACATCATAACACACATACATATTTAACCGTCCTGCTTTTGTCAATAAGATTTTATATTGCTCCTCTAACTCTGAGCATATAAACCATTTTAGATTTTAGTCACGGAAACCCTTTTTAAGACAAGTTTCATCGGAAACAAATAAAATAAGTATAAATGAATCCAATCCTGAAGATTGAATGCATGCATTCGAAGAAATATTTTTTCTATAAATTTACTTCCCTAGAATTCTTAAATCACTTTATTCTAAGAACTATAAAAACGGATTTTGTATTATTTTATTATTAAATTCTGTATTTCTGAGGAAAATATTATTATCAATCTGTTCGTCAAATTTAAATTCATTCAATTTAACATTGATTAAATATATTTACACATTTTTTAATGATTAAATCATTGGAATCATTAAAAATTAAATGATTAAAAATCACATTTTGCAATGATTAAATACAATTACATTGGTTAAATACAGTTTTCATCACAAAATATCTTAAAAGAGATTTTGTCCCCAGTACATGATCAGGTTGTTACGATCAAATTTCGAAATTATGCTGTAGGAATTCTTATGGATCATACCAGGGGCTGTTATCTGGCAGCACATTCATCTATACACGTTTCAGTCATAATGAGAAGAATGCTGACAAGAAGTCAGCTGCCTAAGGGCTTAACTTAGGCCTGAGAGTTCAGGAATTCTTGATACACTGGAATGAGGCCCGGGTGCCTTACATACAGGAAACATCACACTCATTGCTCCTAATCTTTAGCCCGGATTGGATATCTCCAGATACATATAGCTGGCAACTTTAGACTCTCCCTGCTTGTTCAACTTTCCTCACATATAGCTGGCAACTATAGACTCTCCCTGCTTGTCCACCTTTCCTCACATATAGCTGGCAACCATAGACTCTCCTGGTGTCCACCTTTCCTCACATATAGCTGGCAACCATAGACTCTTCCTGCTTGTCCACCTTTCTACACATATAGCTGGCAACCATAGACTCTCCCTGCTTGTCCACCTTTCCTCACATATAGCTGGCAACCATAGACTCTCCCTGCTTGTCCATCTTTCCTCACATATAGCTGGCAACCATAGACTCTCCTGCTTGTCCACCTTTCCTCACATATAGGTGGCAACTATAGACTTTCCCTGCGTGTCCATCTTTCCTCACATATAGCTGGCAACCATATACTCTCCCTGCTTGTCCACCTTTCCTCTCTTCATCATCATTCACTTGGATCAATCCATTTAAAATCATTTCTTGTTGAGTAGAAAGCACACACCCTTTCGCTGAGAGAGTTGTTGACAGCCGCCCCTCTGTCCTCCTACATCTGTTAGGTGGTAATAACCGCTTAACCAGATATTTGCTTCAGATGTCTTTGAAACTAAAGGCTTGTGTAGTGTGCGGGAATCGAACCCGTGAACACCAGTCTGAAAACCAATCCATGGTTACTAGTTGCGGACAAGTGTGCTAAACTTCAGTGATCTAACGAGATCGAACTCACCCCACTCCACTAAATATCACATTTTCATTGCTCAAACTGAATTTCTGTACGAATTGTTCTAACTGAATTGCTGAACAATTAATTTCAATCATGTGTCGTCAATAATAAAACGCAATCAAATGAAATCCCAATTAAAGATTAGTAGATGACCACAGTTGTATTATTTGAACCTTTGTCAAACAAACAAAGTTTGCCATATCTTTGGTTTCTATTAAATCCCTGCCATATATTTGGTTTCTATTAAATCCCTGCCATATATTTGGTTTCTATTAAATCCCTGCCATATCTTTGGTTTCTATTAAATCCCTGCCATATCTTTGGTTTCTATTAAATCCCTGCCATATCTTTGGTTTCTATTAAATCCCTGCCATATCTTTGGTTTCTATTAAATCCCTGCCACCATTTTCTAGAAAGATAATCGTGTGCTTTTGAATTTTATTTTAAATTCTATACATCAAAACAAACCCCTTTGTTCCTCAGATGAAATTTAAATGTTTTTATTAAATCTAATTTTCCCAGATTCTGATTCGTACCTAGAAATCAAACTTATTGACTGCAGTAAAACTGCAGTTTCGGGTTTCCTATAGAGAAGTACTATGTTTGTATTTACTTCCAATTAGTTAATTGCATTTAAGATTGCTTTTATACTCAATTAATAATACAAAAACAAAAACAAAATTTTGAGATAAATAAGATATCCTAACCATCTTTTAGAGTATTTTGGCATGATTTTGTGTAGTTATTAATGTCGGGCTTTACACCAACTAGCTACCAATTACTTACCTAGTTACCTGTATACTTAGAACCTATACCTACTACCTAGTAAAGTATGTACGCTATCTATATACCTATACCATGGCTACCTATATTCCTGTAGTGTATACCTACCTACCTACCTATATACCTATACCACGGCTACCTATATTCCTGCAGTCTACCTACCTAGCTACCTGTATACCTAGTAACCTACTTAGCTACCTCTCTACCTAGTCAAGTATATAAATTACCTATTATCTAACTACCTAGCTACCTGTGACCCCTCCTGTGAAAATGGTGGGACCTGCCTCAGCTCTGGTTCTTGTGTCTGTGGGAAGAAATATAAAGGGGAACGATGTCAGTATGGTAAGTTTAGGGAAATTAAAAATAATTTTTAATTTCTTCAATTAATAATCGTTTAAAGGAGTTGAGTCACAAATTCCGATTTTCTAATATGTATATCTTTGCAACCCAATGTCGTAGACCTACTATATTTCAAATTATGAATTCAGTTATATTTGCCTTACAGGTTATCAGGTCAAAATGTGAATTCCGTTAGATCAAATAATCTAAGTGAGAAATGTAAAAGGTTTGAACCATAAAGTTGCAAAGATATCTGTAATGTGACTGATGATCTAAAGATTTTCACTTTATAAAATGTTCTAAAAGAAAAAAGAACTGAGCTGAAAACTTTAGAATGATGGATATCGAGATTAATGCTTGATCCTCTCTTTTTCTTAATATCGAGACTAACCTAATCTTGTACTTGTATCCTAAAAAGTGTATAAAATTCAACCAATCAAAGTCGCGTATATGAAGCCGATAAATTTGAAATTTTACGCGCTATTTAAGATTATAAATAAAGAGACGGGAGAGACTTTCTAATTTTAAAAAACCGGTTTTTCATTTTTCTCTACTTTATCCAAGAAAGAACGGGTCAAAAAAAAAATCAAAAGTGTGTCCTTGGATACTCAGGTTAAGTAGTCGGGATTAAGGTTATCTCATTCTAAAGTTTTCAGCTCTGATCTGCTGCAAACTTTTTCCGATATTATTTTGTACCTTGTATTACATTGAGATGTTTATAGTTTTTTGTTCATTTTTAAACATTTAAGATTTGTTTACTCCTTTAGAAGCTCCAAAAGAAATCTGAGGTATACTTATCATATTTAAAAAAAATATGCACAATATTTTTACTTTTTTTATATTGTAAACAAAATTTACACGGATAAAAGTTATAAATCTTTGTTCCGAGTACACACACTTTTCACAATTTGATAAAATCAAACATAGAGAGAATATTATTTTGAAATATATCTCAGTGTGTATTATTATTGAACAATTATTTATTCTCTAAAAAGTGAGGGGAGGGGGGGGGGTCGATGAGAAAATTTTAGGAATTAACTTAAGGTTTGCCGAGTACAAATTGCATTTCAAGGTTGAAAATAAATAATTATATAAAATCTAAGATTATAAGAGGTTTAGTAGGCCAGGTAAGAAGAATGTACTTAATGACCTCCTGGAGAAAATATATCTAGTCTGTTACAAGAATGTAATGCAAGGAAAGTTAATTGCAGTTGCGTATACTCTGCGTACATATTGAAACCAGTTCTCTCTGGGCGGAATTTGTAAACCAGAATAGATGCATCAGTGTTCGTTTAGTATCCGAGGAGGTTAAAAGCATTAAATTTTGATAATTTTGATAATTCACATAATAATTTCCTATGCCCATTGGCTAATCTTAATTTAAATACGGTTTCCAAGAAAACTTGGTTGATCTCAACTTAAATACGGTTTCAAGGAAAACTTTGTTGATCTCAACTTAGATACGGTTTTAAGGAAAACTTTACTAATCTTAACTTAAATGCGGGTTCAAGGAAAACTTGGCTGATCTTAACTTAAATACGGTTTCAAGGAAAACTTGGCTGATCTTAACTTAAATACGGTTTCAAGGAAAACTTGGCTAATGTCAACGGTTTCTTGGAAAATGTCGCAAAAGAATTTTTGCCTCAACTGTTTTTATCGGAAGAAATTTGGCAGAATAGTAAACTCTAGAACTATCCAAGTTTGGTGAAAATATGTGAGAAGGATATTAGTATTCGTTTTAACATAGAAATATCACAAATACTAAATCTAGGAAACGACAAAAAGTGTACTGCAGGACGTTTGTTGTTGTTAGATAAATTTGTTACACTTTATCACAATTACGTCCTAATAAGTTAACACAATTATTTCCCCGATGAGCTACACTGAAATTGAAAGTTTTCATCAAGGAATTGAGTTTTTAGTCACAAACTTTCATTTTCTAATGACTAGGTCCTTGTAACGCAATGTCGTAGACCTTAAATATTTCAAAATATGATTTCCGTTTGAAATATCAGCGGTTTACACTACAAGGTTGTACAAATATAAAATTTTTAGAAATTTAGTTTGTGTTAAGAACTCAATTTATTTCTAAAACTATGTTTAGAGTCTAGTTCATGTGCACCAGAGAAACTAGGATTCAATGGAAGTTTTAATTGTAGCAGTACTCAGGTACAGATCAGGTAGGATTTTTTATACAGTCATTCTCCACTAAAACCCACTTTTTATTTGGTCAAACTGCAGTACGCACAAACAGCTTAGTTAAGAATGCAGTGTATCACATGCCTAGAATTTAAACGTGCTTTCATGAAGTCATTTTCTATGTTTTTTCTTTAATAAATCAATTATATGGAGCTCTTCAAGAACTGTTTTATGTAAAAAAGAATCATTTATAAACATGTTTCATGTAAAGAACCTGAAAACTGTCTTGTCAGCACCTTTTCAAAATGATAATAAATAATAAAAATAATAATAATAATAATAATTATAATCTTCAGAATTATTAATAGATAAAACCTTAATCCTTGATTCATTCTCAAACCTTTCCAGTTTTCCTAAAATTCTTAATTTTCTTTGTTTCTAGGTGTAGTTTATCCTGTCCTGCTGGGATAGATTTCTCCGAATCCCCGGCTCAGATCTATTCTTGTCATTTCTCCGAAGGACGGTTTTATCCTTCATCCACTCCGTCCTGTATCTTCGGTAAACAATCAACAACTTTTATTTATTAATTAATTTTAAAAATGAAAAATAAAAAACGAAAAAAATATTTTGTTGATCTATAGGCCTTTAGATCTATAACGTTACTCAGTATTAAACATCTTTTAGGATGGGTTAGATTAGATGGAATCAACTCTTTTCAAACTATTTTTTTCGGGTTTTAGCTTCTTTTAAATTATAAACTGTAAAGAATAACAAGTGCACCTCATATATTATTTGCAAATCTCCAAAGTTCCTGTATCAGGTTCAAACCTGGAGATATCCCGTGAGTATGGAAGTTCTTATTCACCCGGAGATTCAACCCTTCTCCAGTATACTACTCAGGATTGGATCAACACTGCTACAAGTAATTTTACTGCAAATACTGGCAAAAAAATTAGTCTTTTCGGATGATGATGCGACGGTGAATTTTTTTTCCATTTCTAACATTTCTTTGATATATATATTAAGATGTCAAAACGGTACAGTACACCAAATGAAAGATGACTGCTGTGAGATACATGTTCCAATATAAGGGTATTATGTGAGATACATGTTCCAATATAAGGGTATTATGTGAGATACATGTTCCAATATATGGGTATTATGTAAGATACATGTTCCAATATAAGGGTATTATGTGAGATACATGTTCCAATATAAGGGTATTATGTGTATTTTAAGAAAGGTGAACAATCCTTTTCAGATTTCTTTGGTTGCTTTCCATGGTTACAATGTGACGTCACTCACACAACATTTAACTAATTGTTTTCCTGTTTTCCTGTATCAGGTATGCCAAGTATGTCAGCACACTGGGAGAGAGAGCTTGGTAAATACTGGAGATACGGCCAAGGGATGGTTTCGACCAGTATCAAGCTAACCATAGATTACTCCTGGTCGATTTCACAGATTAAACAGGTGATACAGAGCCAAGGAACCTGGATATCATATTCTCACGATACAGCTCTACATACTCAAGAATGGGGAGCTTTAGACGCCCTGCTACAAAACAACCCGGAGAAGAGGGGCGGAACTTGTTATTTCTGGGCAGGGTCTCATTACAGGATGTTTGACGGAAACCTGGTGTCTCTTCCAACTGGTTGTGAGCATGTACTTCTTGTTGAACCAAGAGATCAGACCATCAAGATATCCGTCCTACCCCAAGAAACCTGCTCAACCTGTATTAGGATCAAACTGGACCTGGAAACGGTAGAGTACATTCTATCTGTGGATGGTAATGGTAGAGCAATAGCAACCTCTGGTTCCAGTAGTATAGCTGTACCTGGAGTGCAGGATGGAGTTGTATTCCAGAAATCTGGTTCCTGGATATTTGTAGAAATCCTGGGACTAGGACTAACACTACGATGGAACACTAAGGTCGAAGAAAGCTTTAATTTTCATAAAATATAACAAAATATAAATAAAAAACACTTTCGTATTTAAAAGATCTACCAGATCTTTATGTTTATGACTATAGGATTACCTGTATGTTTAGGACTACCTAGTGATCGAAGGGGATTCTAATCTATGGAACCGAACTACAGGGATGTGTGGATCTCTTACTTCAAATCCGTTCGATGATTTTATGTCACGTGACAGAGAGAAGATTCCGAATCTCCAGGACTTTGCTAAAGCTTGGACTCTTCATGACGGTAAATAGAATTAACATGATTTGTGTCGAGATAATAAAAAATAATTGATAACTTTTTTGATGCTTTCCTAACTTTTTTATTCGGACAGTTCTGCTAAAACATATTCTCCAGGTGCCTGTGAGGACAGGAAAGGTGGAGAAGGACACACGTGTAGTCCAGGATCAGACCTGGATAAACAAGCTTCTCAGTTCTGCCGGAACCTGGTGGATTCTCCGGCTCTAGGTTCCTGTCACTCTGTTCTCAATCCTCTTCCCTTCTATGAGACATGTCGTTGGTCCTACTGCAGTGGTTCTACTCCAGATTCTAGTTTAGGTTCTACTCCAGGTTCAACTTTCGCTGGAGAACTAGCTTGTCAGGCAGATTAACTTTTACAGTCCAAGCTCAACCCTTAATTTTTTTTTAATCTACTTAAAATTTTTATGAAAAAATGTGTGTTATCTCTTTAGCAATTTTTAAGGCCAGTTGGTTAACCCACAACGGATGGCGACCTAAACGAGCCTTTTATATCTATACTGTTATTCTAGCCTATTATTGGATATTTCATAAAACCAGTTTTCTCATTTTAATCTGAAGTTTAGTTTATATTTGAATATAATCTTCCTTATATATATAATCTATAATAAACTTTACAATCTAACTCTTACCAAAGTTCTAGAGGATTTTCAAACTTTTGCACTTTCATCGTTTTAGAGAAAATTACTTTAAACCTAGTTAAGTACGAAATGATCAACTTTTAAAAATATAAATTCTACAAAATTCTGCAGATTTAACCAGAAAATCTTTAACTTTTTGACATTATTTTGTATGTTTGTTGATCAAAAATTTAGTTTGGATATTGTTAGTCTTGAAGAGTTGATCTCGATATCCAATGTGTGCACTTTTAAATTTGTAGATCAATGCTGGATCCCTCAATTAAAGTTACCACGGTTTAAAATTAGTCTTCAGATCTGCATAAGATGGAGATAAAAATTGAATCCCGAGATTCACAGCGCATATGTTCTGACTTAGGGTCATATTGAATTGTTTATGTGCAGCTCGATTTTTCAAATTTCCCTATTTTCAGTTTAACACTGACAGAATACAGACAGAAAAGTTATCTTTATAAGTCTGTTGAAACCTATGTGAGATCCTGTGAGGGTTTGGGAGTATCTCCGTCAGGTTGGAGATCTCCTGGTTTCTGTCCTATGGAGTGTGGAGGAGGGATGGTTTATCAGGAGTGCGGAGTAGGAACTAGTCCTACTTGCTCTGATTCAGGAATCAATTCAAACCATGAATTTTGGGAGGATACAGGGATATGTGTAATGTGTATGCCTTAGAGAACGAATTTTAGACCCCTCCCCCCATCCATTTTGTACATGACCTCGATTTTAACTATTTTCAACAAAAATAAATTAAATTTCTTTTGTATTTTTCAGGGTTAGGTTAGTTTAATACAATTTTTAGGCCGAGCGCTGCGGCTTGAACAGGCTAGGAGGCCTAGCGATCCGGCTAGGACAGACCATGGGGCCGGGCGCTGCGTCCCCTTTTCTAACTGTGCCCACGTGTTTCATATGAGGTCTATGAGGTACACATTGATAGGAGAGGGGGGGCCAGGGGGGGGGTCAAAAAGCGTTCTCCAGGAAATTACCAGCGATGTTTGTTTATACAGGTTTAGATAAAAAGATCTTTCACATCTCTAAATAAATCTCGGCCTACACTGCTTGGTTTAGACAGGGTAGTCTAAAAAAGTTTTTTGATAACTTTTTAAACTTTTTAAATAACTTTGGAGCAAAATGTAATACTCTTATAATCTTATAATGATTCTTCTAATCACCAATATGGATATAAAACTCCTTTTATATGTAAACAAAAACAATTAAGTTCCATTAAAAAAATTCTATTAAATTCTTTTTTTTTAAATTGTTGAAGTTCCATGATAGAATGCATGTTGAAGAAAAATTATAAATGTTGTTTAAAGGTTGCAAATGTTTAGATTTTAAACTTTTCAAAGTTTAGTCCAACATTGTATTATTGTATTTGACTTAAATATTTAAACTTTTTTTGTTTGCATTTAATTTTTGAGAGAGTCGCTTTTTTACAACAACACCATAATTGTAGTATTGAGGTTTGGATGAGCAGATGAAGGTCTGGTTTCTGAGTTCTGTATCTCAGGGTGCTATTGTCCACAGGGAACCAGGCTACATCAAAATAGGTAATTTTAATTTCTAATCTGTAAAAAGAAGGATAATACAAGAATGTAAATCATTTACCTAACTTACTAAAGTCCGCAAAGAGAAAATTGATATTTTATTGTTTAAATCATGAAAACTTAACATGGCCAATTATATAAAAGTAGAGTGAGTGTAATTTTATAATAAAGCCATTCGCTCATATATATATATATTGACTAAAATATTTTGAGGAAATCAAATTTCAAAATTGATTTTTTTTATTCCACGGGCAACGCAGGGCACTTTGGCTAGTTTCTAATATATTCTACATCTTATGATTACATACTAACTAAACTCAACAACAATACTATTTCATTGCTTAAATTATAAAAACTTAACAAGGCCATTTTTACAAAAGTAGAGTGAGTGTAATCTATAAATAAAGCTCTTCGTTCATATGTATGTTATCTATAGCCGGCCAAACGGCTGGACCAAATTGGCTGAAATTTGTTGATGTAAACTATGGGTAGTTCCTAATTTTTTTCTACAATCTGAAATTACATACTAAAACTAAACTCAACAACAATACTATTAATATTTTATTGTTTAAATTATGAAAATCAAGCCAATTTTTCTAAAGTAGGGTAGAGTGTTATATTCTTTTACAGAAATCTAAAGGGTGTCAACATGGATTCAGTCCAAATCTAAACGTGATGTTAATGGCATATATATGTATATTTTAATGTATCCTTACTTACGAATTAAAGGGACTGTCGGCGTTATTTCAATTGGCCCTCAATGAAAATATGACAACGCATGATTTACTTTAAAAGTTTATCTGATGAAGTTTGAATTATAAATCAAAATTTAAAATTTGTAAAAACGGCTTATTTTTGATTATGGGTTCTATACAAAAGCAACTTCCACATTTCTATTGCAGAGAAACATCAGTGTTATTCGCTTTTTAACTTAAAAAAACACATTATCTTCCACAAATTATAAATCAGATAAAGTGTTCAAGGGTACCATTGTGAATCGTCAGTACTTCTCTGCATAGAAGGTTACTTAAAATATACTTACAGGCTAAAGCTCCCTCACAAAAATTATCATGCAATATAACAGTTTTGAGAGTTTTGATGAATGTTAGGTACTTTCCCAAATTGTCACTTGGCAATTCGCCCTTGGGAAAAAGCCTTTGTGAAAGTACCTAACACCTTTTAATTTACTTTAGACAATACATCTCTAAATATATCTCAGGTATTTAGACAATGTATCTCTAAATATATCTCAGGTGTTTAGACAATATATCTCTAAATATATCTCAGGTGTTTAGACAATATATCTCTAAATATATTTCAGGTGTTTAGACAGTATATCTCTAAATATATCTCTAAATATATCTCTAAATATATCTCTAAATATATCTCTAAATATATCTCAGGTGTTTAGACAATATATCTCTAAATATATCTCAGGTGTATAAAGGAGAAGGACTGTCCGTGTCTTTACAATGGTAAAGAATATCAGAATGGAGAAGAAATAACAAAGAGTTGTAATACTTGGTAAAATTTTCTACTTTTTTACTTATTTTTTGTAAATTTGGTAAATATTAAATTGAAACTGTATATTGTGTACTGTGACTGGATGGAAGTGTACTGCTGTATTGTATTGTGTGTACTGCATCTGGATGGAAGTGTACTGCTGTATTGTAGTGTATGTTCTGAATCTGGATGGGAGTGTACTGATGTATTGTATAGTATGTACTGCATCTGGATGGGAGTGTACTGCAGTATTATAGTGTATGTTCTGTATCTGGATGGGAGTGTACTGCTGTATTGTATTGTATGTACTGCATCTGGATGGGAGTGTACTGCTGTAATATAGTGTATGTTCTGTATCTGGACGGGAGTGTACTTATTGTAGAGTGTATGCACTGTATATGGTAAGGAATGTACTGCTTTATTGTAGAGTGTATGTACTGTATATGGATGGGAATATACTGCTGTATTGTAGTGTACGTACTGTATCTGGATGGGAGTGTACTGCTTTATTATAGAGTGTATGTACTGTATATGGATGGGAATATATTGCTGTATTGTAGTGTACGCACTGTATCTGGATGGGAGTGTACTGCTGTAATTATAGTTTATGCTCTGTAGCTGGATGGGAGTGTACTGCTGTGTTGTTGTTTATGTACTGTATCTGGACGGGAGTGTACTGCTGTATTGTAGTGTACGGAATGTATCTGGATGGGAGTGTAAGGCTGTATTTTAGTGTATGTACTGTATATGGATGGGAGTGTACTGCTTTATTGTAGTTTATGTACTGTATCTGGATGAGAATGTACCGCTGTATTGTAGTTTATGTACTGTATATGGATGGGAGTGTACTGCTGTGTTGTAGTGTATGTACTGTATCTGGATGGGAGTGTACTGCTGAAGAGTGCGGGAGCCGGTGTACTGTAGTTGGGGATCCACATTATACTACGTTTGATGGAAAGGTAATTTATCAAATGTACATGTCTAGGCTACAAAAAAAGGAATAGAGAGGTGAAATTAAAGGTCAAGGTGTTGGAACACCTTAATGTAGACCCAGTCTTGAAAATGTATGCATTTTTTAAATACAAATCTGGATGTTAAGGACGATTATTTGGCAGCTAAGTGTCTCTCCCAAACAAAATCCCTAAAATTTCGATAGTAGAGACATCCCAGGGGTCAAATAGTCATCGTTTAAAGAACATCGTATAAAAAAAGGAAATAAGAAATATCATACTATTTACGATTGCATTGAATTGAATTCGACATGTATAGGTTGTAATATTTGAATGATTAATGTTAAACTTTCTTGAATTTATTACGATCTGAGTGAAATAATTGTTATGGGTCCTACGTTCTTTGGCATGAGTCCTTTTAAACCCTTTTCTCCCTATATACGCAACAAATAAAAGTAAAATTAGTATCGATCGATATCGACAACACTCCCTTTAATTGCATGTTTTTTTCATCCAATTTTGCAAGTGTGAGAGTGACAACATTTTCAGGAGAAATTGTTTTTAATTATTCTGCAATAAAAAAGGTATAAGATATGTTTTCAAACGATGTATAAATGATAAACATCAAATCACGCACTTTGATTGTATCACAAAACGAAGAATCAAAAGTTTAATATATTTTTTGGAATTTTAATGTATTTTGTTTATCGGTGTAGTATGTTGATTGATTCCATTTTTCACGTTACAAATTTTTTATTTCCTTATTCACTGTATGTATACTGTTTCGTCTTTTTTATATAACTGCATATTTCTGCATCATAGTTTTTGGCAACCTTTTTTTTACGAATGCAAAATATTTCAAACTAGAACAATAATATCAAGGGTTTTCTGAAATTTTAAGTTAAGAAAATGCATTTTTAAAGCAGCATAATTTTTGGGCTATGTATTATCCTTCATAGTACAATTTTTTCTTTTCAGGTGTCGTTTTTGTTTTATTTCAGCCAACAATGAAAAAGTTTTTTTTGGTAAAATAGAATCACAAGGTTTATAGTTTAGAGAATTTTAAGAATTCAAGGTTTTGATCAGAAATATAATAGTTCAAGGTTTAGGGTAAAAATATAAAAATGCAAGGTTTTGGTTAAAAAGATAAAAGCATAAGGTTTTACTTAGAAATATAAAAGTTCAAGGTTTAAATTAGAAATATAAAAGTTTAAGGTTTCACTTAGAAATATAAAAGTTTAAGGTTTTGGTTAGGAATATAAAAGTTCAAGGTTTAAATTAGAAATGTAAAAGTACAAGGTTTAAATTAGGAATATAAAAGTTCAAGGTTTAAATTAGAAATGTAAAAGTACAAGATTTAAATTAGGAATATAAAAGTACAAGGTTTAAATTAGAAATGTAAAAGTAAAAGGTTTAAATTAGGAATATAAAAGTTTAAGGTTTTGGTTAGGAATATAAAAGTTCAAGGTTTAAATTATGTAAAAGTACAGGGTTTAAATTAGGAATATAAAAGTTTAAGGTTTTGGTTAGGAATATAAAAGTTCAAGGTTTAAATTAGAAATATAAAAGTACAAGGTTTTGGTTAGGAATATAAAAGTTCAAGGTTTAAATTAGAAATATAAAAGTACAAGGTTTAAATTAGAAATGTAAAAGGGCAAGTTTTAGGTTAAAAAGTACAATGTTTCAGCTAGAAAAAGAAAGTGCAAGAAAAAATATGAAAGTACAACACTTTGCTTAGAAATAGAAGGACAAACATCTTAAGATGAAAAGTGCAAGCTTATGCCAAAAAATAAAAAATATAAAATTCATGATGATTACATTATTTTCCTCAAGATAAAAAGTAAAAAGATCTTAGAGATAACAAATATTAAGTTTCTTAAATAACAAGAGTTAGTTTAAGATGAAAGAAAAAAGTTTGGTTAAAACTGAATAATGCAAAGCTCAGTTGAATAAAAGAAAAAAATTAGTTTGGGAAAACTTTAAAAGATTTTCAACTGGGGAATTGATCAAATGTCGTATTCTTCACTTTCTGTTAATGAAATGTTGCATATATTTAGTTTTTTAATTAAATGATTATATGGAGCTCTTTAAAAACCGTTCCCGCATATTCATGGCTATTTATTTATTTTCGCAAATACTGAGATCTACGTAAATAGTATTAAACCCATTGAAAAATATATTGTCGATGTTTAGAGCTATAATTGTCGATATATAGAGCTATGATTTAATGGGGCAATATATTGTCAATATTTAGAGCTATGATTTAATGGGGCCATATATTGTCAATGTTTAGAGCTATTATTTCATGGGACAATATATTGTCTATGCTTAGAGCTATGATTTCATGGGACAATATATTGTCTATGCTTAGAGCTATGATTTCATGGGACAATATATTGTCAATATTTAGAGCTATGATTTCATGGGACAATATATTGGCAATATTTAGATCTATTATTTCATGGGACAATATATTGTCTATGCTTAGAGCTATGATTTCATGGGACAATATATTGTCTATGCTTAGAGCTATGATTTCATAGGACAATATATTGGCAATATTTAGAGCTACGATTTCATGGGACAATATATTGGCAATGTTTAGAGCTACGATTTAATGGGGCAATATATTGTCAATGTTTAGAGCTATTATTTCATGGGACAATATATTGTCTATGCTTAGAGCTATGATTTCATGGGACAATATTTTGTCAATGTTTAGAGCTATGATTTTATGGGACAATATATTGTCAATGTTTAGAGCTATGATTTCATGGGACAATATATTGTTAATGTTTAGAGCTATGATTTAATGGGACAATATATTGTCAATGTTTAGAGCTATGATTTCATGGGGCAATATATTGTCAATGTTTAGAGCTATGATTTCATGGGGCAATGTGCGTATATCCTGTTGGAGTCTGATGATCTACTGATACAGGCTGAAAATATACCATGTGACGGCTCAACTTTCCAGGTCAGAGTAGGATATTGAAAAGAATATTTTTTCCTAATTACAAGAAAAGTATTATATTTTAAAAGCGATTTTTGCCTCAACTCGTCGATCCTGTGAATGAGTGAAACGGAATCTTTACATTTGCTTATATTTTAATATAATTTTTTCAGTGATAACCAGAAAACAATGGATTAAATTTTAAAACGACATTTTAGCAATTCTTGGGGGTATTTGATGTAGATAAAAAGCAAAGAAACATATAAAACCACTAATTTAGTGAAATGGGTCTGTTAACACTGCACAATTGCTGTTTTTCTCATGCTCATTAGACTTTTAAATATCATAAATTGATTCTAAAAGTCGTCTTCCTATTTATGAGGTTTCTGGTTATCACTGTAAGAAAACTTTAAAATATTATTTCTTTTATTTCCAGCTCAGCAATTAAATATAGAAAACTCTGCTTTTTATCACAATTTATTTTAGAATATTTTTATAATGATTTTTAATTAGGAAGTAATCGGTCGAACATATGAGATTAATAATCCCCCAACATGTACACGTAGTGTTACAATCAAGTAAGTAAACATTTCTAAAAAGCTCAAACAGGTTTCTGATGCGGATATCGAGTCATATACATTTCAGTCTCATTGTTAACAATTGTAATTTTATTAGCTGAGAGATACTATTTCATGTATCTATACAGCAAAAAGTTCTGAAATAATCTTATTTTTAGGACAGGAGGACGGATTTTGAAATTAAAGCAGGGTTTTGAGCTGAGGTTGGATGGCGAGGAAATAAACCAACTTCCTTTCAGAATTAGGAATACTCTGGTTATTAACCAACCTTCATCTCTTTGGATTACAGGTATACTCTAATATATTTATCTCTATGGATTACAGGTATATTCTAATATATTCATCTCTATGGATTACAGGTATATTCTAATTTATTCATCTCTATGATTACAGGTATACTCTAATATATTCATCTCTATGATTACAGGTATACTCTAATATCTTCATCTCTATGGATTACAGGTATACTCTAATATATTCATCTCTATGGATTACAGGTATACTCTAATATATTCATCTCTTTGATTACAGGTTTACTCTAATATCTTCATCTCTATGGATTACATGTATACTCTAATATATTCATCTCTATGGATTACATGTATACTCTAATATATTCATCTCTATGGATTACAGGTATACTCTATAATATATTTAAAATTCGGTTTCATCACTATGGATTACAGGTATATTCTAATTTATTCATCTCTATGATTACAGGTATATTCTAATTTATTCATCTCTATGGATAACCTGTATACTCTAGATACAATTATCTCTATCATCAGGCTTACTCTAGTTGCAATGATCTCTATTATTACACGTTTCTATTATCTATTATCTTTATGATTACAGGCTATATGATCAAATAACAATTATCTCTATTACTAATATATTATTTTTTAACATATAAAAACAAACATATGTTGATTTGTAAAAGACGATTTTATTTGAAAATACGTGAAATTATTATCATAGTAATAGAGGCTAATTCGAATGAAATGAAGTTTCAGAAGATTTCAAACTAAATAAAAGTTTGTGCATTGAACTGGTCCAACACTGCTCTGAAAATTTTCATTAATTTTTGACGCTGGGTCGACTTTGAAATGTCGCAGCGCCTTGGTCTCTGATTTTACCTCATTTACTTACTTATACTTTTTTGTATGATGTAGAAACATTCTAGAAAGATAGAGCACTTGTTTTTAGCTTAAATTCTGTCAAAATTTTCATGGATTTTTGCGTGAGGAGTTGCAACCTTTAGATCACCGTGGTTCCTGCCGTTCATTGTTAAATTATCTTAATCCAATTCCAGGTTTAAGCTTTATGAGCTCAATATTTAGTTTTGTATAGCTAGTTGCATCTTTGGAATTTAGGATTAAAAAGTATTTAAGAACTAAGGTAGTATAATATCAATGGTTTTGTATGATTTGATTTACAAAACAACTGGTTTTGTTGTTGTTATTGTCTAAACGCTATGAAACACTTTATATGTCAGGCTAGTGGGGGGCAAAACTAATTGAAGCAATTACCAATAAGAAAATACATCCCAGCAGGGACCAGGATATAATGAATCAAGGATTTGAAACCTGGAGAATGGAAGTAAGGTTTTGTGAGATGGAGAAACTAGGTTCTATATTCTGTATTCTAGTATACCTGCAGAATAGTCGAGTAATGTTTGGTGGGATGGAGAAACTGCCTATAGGTTCTATATCCTGTATTCTAGTATACCTGGAGAATGGGAGTAAGGTTTGGTGGGATGGAGAAACTAGGCTCTATATCCTGTATTCTAGTATACCTGGAGAATGGGAGTAAGGTTTGGTGGGATGGAGAAACTAGGGTCTATATTGATGCTTCACCCTCACTACATGGAAAGACTAAGGTTTACATTCGTTCTGTTTAAAGTTTTTAGATATTTGAACAATTTGAACATATTTTTACTTTCCAAAAAGAAAACAAATTTAGAAAGTTTGGAGAAAACTATCATCTCCTGACAAGTTATCTATTAGGGTTTATGTGGAAGCTACAATGGGTTTGAAAATGATGATTTCTTGACTGTGGACGGAGATGTGGAGGAGAATCCAACAAACTTTGCCAACAAGTAAGCAAACGGACAGATTACTTCCCTCAACCTGTATTTTATTATCCTTATACCTTTGCAACCCGATGTCACATGTAATATTCATTATGCTTATTCATAACACTGTCTGATCTAAAATGGTCCATTTTCCATTATACGTCTTCTTGATCTTCGATGTTTCTTTATAAATCATATTAGATTATCTTGATCTATGATCTCTTTGATTCAAAAAAAAAACATTCTGATAAAAATTTAAAATCCATGTATTTGAATTCCGATGTGAATTCTACATTTGGATAAAGAAGTTTTTGTTACCTCAAAATTTCAAATCTCTACATCTTTGAAACCTGATGGTGTCCACCATTAAATTTTTAAACTTAGACTATTTTGATCGAACAGAATTTATAGTTTAAAATATCGAATTGCGAAGATATAGAGAAAAAAACTCATTTCATTTGTATCAAGTTGTAATTCCTTTATTATTTGAAACCTTACCATTAATTTTTTCAAAACAATTTAAAATTTGCCTCAAACTGTTATTAGCTTTTTATCTTTGCAACCTGACGAGCTGAACTTTCATATTGCAAATTATGAATTTTGTTAGATCAAGTGAAAAAGTTAAAATTTGAAATATCAAAGGTTTCCGCGATATAAGTTGGAAGTTGAGTTAAGTTAATGAGAAATTTGATTAAACTTTCATAAAATATATTAACCAAAAAAAATTTAAAAATTTGTTCAAAACGCGTATAATATGTTTAGTTTTTTGTTTCCTTTTTGAATTATAGAATCATGAAAAGGTTAACAAATAAATAAGGAGGAATAGAAAAATCTAGTCATAGAAATTTTGCAAAAGATTTAATATATTGGATCTGCAGAATATGGTGGAACAGGTGGCATTCAATAGCTTTTTCTTCTTGGTAAACTCTCTCTAATTAGGTTGTGAAAACAGGATTTTTAAAATGATAAGTTGTGGCGCCCCTGGATTCCAGGAATACAGTTCACAACAATTTGTTTGTTATTGTTTAGATTATGCATTTGTTTATTATTGTTTAGATTATGCATCTGGTATAAATACTGCGTTTACATAATAAATATTCAGTCTGTTTACTTCTCTTGTCATTTAAACATCGCTACAAAGTATTATTTAAGATTCCTCCAAATTAAAAAAGTTAACTGACTATTTTGCTTTTAAGTTTTAACTTCTTAATGTATTTAAAGTGTAGACAACTAGATCAAATAAAATAATTTTCTTAACCGGGGCAAATTAAAATTTTACATATTTTTATCTATTTCTAGATGGAGAATTGATCCTAACTGTGTTGTAGCTCTAGACAAAGGAATATAAATATATATATTTGGATTAACTGTCTGCTAATGGTCTGCTAGTCTGTTTGTATATATTAAAAAAACATCAGAACGGCTGAACTGATCAGAGATCGTTCCTTTTAACAGAACGTATGCAAAACGTCCGTTATGATGACGTACTTTAGGGGGGATAGTTTGGCCGCTAGATGTCTCACGCTAGATTCCTATCTGATTGGTAGATAATTAGGACGTCAGAGACGTCATCTTGTCAACCATTGTAGCGTTGATAATATAGTTTAGCCTCAAACCTGAATATTTGTGTAGGACCTTGTCTAATGTAAGGGAAGGTTTATGACCGGTTAAAGTTTAAAATTATTAAAAATCCACCAATATGAAAACACAGAAATCTGCGAAATCTTATGACTCATTATTATCAAAAATGCTTGCAGGCAAAACTTGTAACATTATAACTAAGATTTCACAAGTAAGTGAGGATAGTAAATAGAGTAGTGTAAACCCCTAGGAAAAGTATAAATATAGGAAACAGATAAATTGATTGCATCGCTTAGATGAGAATACATAAACAAAACTTTTATCCATTGTGCATTTTTTTTATTTGCAAACAATCTTAAACAAAAAAACTACAAGTCGTTAAAAGAACTGATTATTCATAATTTCAAGAGAAACTCTCTAAATTTTCTTGTTTTAGTGTAAACTTTGGTTTAGTATATATGTTTAATATGCGATATCAATCCCATAATTAATAACCATATATTAACTTTAAGTTTGATGTTAAATTGAAAATTAATTTCATAGAATTGCGATTCATCAAAGGTATAATTTGCTGAGAAATGTTGGAATACAGCAAAATGATGACATTTATTTAATAAATTTGATGCATACGTTTTTCCTTATGTACAGTGATAACCAGAAAACAATGGAATAGGAAGACGACATTATAGCAATACTTAAGTGTATTTGATGGTGTAACAAGGCAAATTGTTTTACTAGACAATTATAAAATCATTTATTTTGTGACATGGGTCTGTTCCAACTGCACAATTGCTGTGTTTCAAGGTCTTTGAACTTTTTAAAGATAAAACTTGATTCTCAAAGGCGTCCTACTATTCCAGAGTTTTCTGGTTATCACTGTAGTAAATTAACTTTACATGAAACGTGTGTGTGCATGTAAAGCTGAAGTAAATTGCGCGTAAGATTGAAATATTATATGTTTTCAATCATGACTCCACTAGTGAGCAAGTGAGAAGCACAATGTCGTGACGTAGACCTTAGATCTTTCCAACTATGAATTCTGTTAGATGAAATAATATAAGTTTGAAATATCAAAGAATTACGACATTGGGTTTTAAAGATATAGGGATTATAAATTCAGAGTTTGTGGCAAAGACTCAATTCCTTTCTTACGCGTAACCGAATACTTTTTCATACTTGATGCGTAGTATCAAAACCGAAAGAGCTACAAGGTCACAAAGGTCTACCACCAATTCTTCATAAATTTGGCCTTCTCCTTCTGTTTAGTTTGCAGTGTCTGGAGTATCGTTAATCATAAAAGTTTGTCTCGATATACACTGCGGAGTATAAATTCTTGATACCTCAATCAAAGTTATATTTATTCCTGCATCCAGGAAAGAAAAAAATCTGTCAAAACAAAAACCTCTACAGGATTGAATGATAACTTTCCTATTAAGATCACCAGAGAGTCTGAAAATTCTATGGATTCAAAAACCAAAGATAAATGTTTTTAATAAATAAGTATATATTTACTGGACGGATTCAGGTTCTCATCCCTGTGATGTAAACCCTACCCGGAGATTAGAAGCAGAACAAACCTGTTCTAAACTTAGACAAAATATCTTCAAGTCCTGTCACTCCCAGGTTCTTAAGCGCAATTCACAAATTCAATCAATTAATTCTAGTCATATTTCCTGAATTCGAATTTTACAGCGAGAATTAGTTCTCCACACCCTTCAACATTAGAGAAGTACGCCATGTTAACTTTTAAATCCATATTTTTTCATACTTCTTTATCCTTCTATTCCTTCATTTTTTTTTATCAGAGAACACTGATTAAGTGTATTCTGAATATATTTCTGATTACTCCGTATGTACAGGTGGACCCTGAGAAAGCTTATTCTGACTGTATGTATGATTACTGCTCCTGTCAAAACTTTGATCCAAGATGTTTCTGTCCAATATTTAGTGCGTATGGAGATGAATGTGCAGCAAAGGTAAGACCACAGACTGCGCAGACTGCTTATCTCCTTTCACAGGGTGGGCTTCGAAGGCCTAAGTTGACCCGGCACGACATGCTACGTTTTAACGATAGATTTCTAGAGTGCCTTCTCACGGCCACTTGTTGAATATAATTCCCATTCAGGGGTTAAGTTAAACAACTTTTAAAGAAATACTACAATTTTAAACATGAAACATAACATTTATGAATTCAGTCTTTTTTTAAAGATTTTGTGTTCCGTATCCAAAGGATCCTGAAATATCCCTGAGTACAGATGTTTGCTGATTGGTCGAGTACAGTACTTAACACAATAGCTAGAACATTCTGTGGAAAATATCGCATATTTTAGCTGATAATTGATCTCTGTAACTCTCTTATCTCTGGGTAATACCTATTTAAGTTATTTTAACAGTGATCTCTTTTCCACATTTTAATTTCTCATGAAGACTGATAATGTACATTTCTCACTGAAAACCAAATAAATCACCCCCTTACATGGTTAGATTAATGCGTAAATTTTTTTATCTGTTGCTAAACGTTAGCGTTCTCAGAGTAAATGACATTTCTTTGTGAAGAGGATGTTTTATGATGAATCTGCATGAAGGTTTTAGATTAGCGGAATTCAAAATTGTTATATATGCCTACAAAAAGTGTTTTAAAAAAAGGCTAAAAAATTATGTAAAATTGGTCAAATTGTGATTGAAAGTCACAGCTCTCTGAAAATTTGACAGAACCGTTAAATCCACGTGAGACTGGGTTTCTATTGTGGTGGCCTTCCCCTTAATCATCTTGGAGTGACATATTTCAAAGAAAAATCATACTTTTTAAAATTGAAAAATTTTCATTTCCTGGTTTTAATAATCCCTCTTCCCATCATCTTATCATCTGAAAACTGCATTTTCCTGCATAATTTGTGAAGCTGGGAGAAATTTTAGATTGAAATGATAAAATATGTCACTCAGTTTTTGATACTTTGGAGAGTTGAATTTTAGAAATTATATATATATATATAGTAGCTTACGTAAGGGATTGTTAACCTCGCATTTAAAGGGATTGGAGACATATTTTTCCTTAATCTCGCGAGAAGGAGATTTTTCATTTTTCATAAAAGTCAGTCTGGTACAAGGTACTAATGCAAGGAAAGTTAATTGCAGTCGTGTATACTCTGCGTACATATTGAAACCAGTTCTCTCTGGGCGGAATTTGTAAACAAGAATAGATGCATCAGTGTTCGTTCAGCATCTGAGGAGGTTAAAAGCATTGAATTTTGATAGTTTAGATAATTCACATAATAGTTTCCTTTGACCAGAATATTTCTTAGATTATTTTTGTGAAAATGGAATCCATGTCAGGCTGTGACATCCGTCTTGTGTTTACTTTTCCGCCCAAAGACAGTACACTACAGTACAAGAAATGCGTACACCTCTGAAATAACTTTCCTTGCATTAGTACCTTGGTCTGGTACAAGGTTGTAATGCAAGGAAAGTTAATTGCAGTTGCGTATACTCTGCGTACATATTGAAACCAGTTCTCTGTGGGAGGAATTTGTAAATAATGATAGCATCAGTATTCGTTTAGTTTCCAAGGAGGTTAAAAGCATTAAATTTTGATCATTTTGATAATTCACATAAAAGTTTTCTATGATCAGAACATTTCATTGATTTTTTATGTGAAAGATGAATCCCATATCAGGTTTCGACATCCGTCTTGTGTTTACATTACCGCCCAGAGACAGTACATTGCAGTACAAAAGATGCGTACACCTCTGAAATAACTTTCCTTGCATTACAACCTTGGAAAATACTCCTTGCAATTTAGTAAAATGGGTCTGTTTACATTGCACAGTCGCTGTGCCTCATGTTCAACGCGCTATTAAAAGTCATAACTTTAGTTTAAAAGTCGACTTCCTGTTCCAGAGTTTTCTGGTTATCAATGTACATTTTTGAAAAGCTTGACCATGCCTTTTGAATAATATGAAAAAGATTTAGCAAAATTTTAAATAACCTGATGTGTAATTAAGAAACACTTAAAATGTGCAAATTTCTTTTGACGGATTGTATCCAAATGATTTGCAAAAACTTCTTTGCAAAACTTTGCAAAGCTTTCCCTTATATCATAGGCTTTCCAAAAAGCTAAAAATTATCAAAATCCGACAACTGAAAGTGGGTCAAAACAAAGATTTGGTTTGTTACAGGAAAAAGTAGTGCGTGAGGACTCAGGCAGTTATTAAAAAAGCCCGGTTTTAAATCTCAAGGGGAGGGCTCATGGGTATTTAGGAAAAGTCAGAAAATTTCAACAGCCCAGACTAATGTTTTTTGAGTTATAGGAATGATTTCAATAATCATGGAAAGTACGAAACTGAAATATATTGCAATGGAATTATAATGTCTATGTTTTAACTCTGTTAGTCGTTAACTAATTAAAACTAACTAAACTGGTTTAGTTTGGTATGGTAGGGTGTTTTTTTGTTTAACTAATTACACTGGTTTGGTTTGGTTTGATATGGGGTGTTGTTTTTTTTGTTTAATTCATTTTACTGGTTTGGTTTGGTTTTGTAGGGTGTTGTTTTTAACTAATTATTTTGGTTTGCTTTGGTAAGTTGCTGTATTGTTAAATAATTATATTGGTTTGGTCGGCCGGGTGTTGTTTTGATAACTAATTATATTTGTTTGGTTTGGTAAGGTGTTGTTTTGTTTAGCTAATTATATTGGTTTGGTATGGTGTTGTTTTGTTTAACTAATTATATTGGTTAGGTCGGACGTTGTTTTGATAACTAATTATATTGGTTTGGTCGGACGTTGTTTTGATAACTAATTATATTGGTTTGGTTGGACGTTGTTTTGATAACTAATTATATTGGTTAGGTCGGACGTTGTTTTGATAACTAATTATATTGGTTTGGTCGGACGTTGTTTTGATAACTAATTATATTGGTTTGGTCGGACGTTGTTTTGATAACTAATTATATTGGTTTGGTCGGAGGTTGTTTTGATAACTAATTATATTGGTTTGGTTTTGTAAGGTGTTGTTTTGTTTAACTAATTATATTGGTTTGGTTTGTTATGGTAGGGTGTTGTTTTGATAACTATTTATATTGGTTTGGTTTGGTTTGGTAGGGTGTTGTTTTATTTAACTAATAATATTGATATGGTTTGGTATGGTAGGGTGTTGTTTTGTTTAACTAATTGTATTAATATGGTTTGGTTTGGTAGGGTGTTGAGGTGGACTGGAGACCTCTAGTACGGGAATGTGGATTAAACTGTCCTGTTGGACAAATATACAGGTAAATCAATCAATCAATCAATCAATTAATCGATAAATCAAGAAGGAAATGAATAAGATCGATTATTTTAAAAACAAAAAATCAGTATCAATTCTATAAAATAAATATCTTATGATCAATTAACAAACTATTGCGATACATTAATTATTAAATAAATAAGTCAATGAATAGTAAATCAATATATCAATCAATCCATCAATAAATAAGTTCTACAAAAAATCAAATTCCTCATTTAGTTAAATTTGGAAACTAATAAAATTTTGGTGAAGGTTGTGTGGAGATAGTTGTAAATACAGCTGCAGGTCAATCTCTCTCCATCAGGAGTGTGAACAGGAGTGTGTCGAGGGGTGTTCATGTCAACCTGGATACACATTAGATAATACAGGTATACCTGGATACATATTAAATAATACAGGTATACCTATAGATACATATTAGATAATACAAGTTTAACTGGATCTATATTAGATAATACAGGTATACCTATATTAAATAATACAGGTATACCTAGATACATATTAGATAATACAGGTATACCTAGATACATATTAGATAATACAGGTATACCTGGATACATATTGAATAATACAGGTATACCTAGATACATATTAGATATTGCAGGTATACCTGGATACACATTAGATAATACAGGTATACCTGGATACACATTTGATAATACAAGTATGCCTGGATACACATTAGATAATACAGGTATACTTGGATGCGCATCAAAATGGCTAAAACCTTTCATTTCAGATGACCCCAGCAAAGGTTTATAGAATTTTAAAGTTAACCAAATGTCAACATTTATAATATTTGAAAATACTCCGATGAAAATAGAAAAATCTGCGAAAATTTAACATTGATTAAAAATGATCACTTTTAGATCAACAAGTTAAAGCTATAAAAAGTTTAAAGGAAATCGGGGTCGAAGCGTCCTAAATGTCTATTCCTGTATACTGTATCAATGACTAATCAATGTATCCCTGTATAATGTAACTGACAGGGTAACCCTGTATCCTGGTGGGACACTGTATCCTTTATAAGAGTACACTGTATCCTGTATAGAATATATTGTATCCATGATTAATATAACCCTGTATCCTGTACAGGACACTGTATATTTGTACAGAATATATTGTATCCATGATTAATATAACCCTGTATTCTGTACAGGACACTGTATCCCTGTATAGAAGATACTGTATCCAGGATTGATATAACCCTGTATCCTGTCCTGTTCAGAACACTGTATATCTGTACAGAATATATTGTATCCATGATTAATATAACCCTGTATCCTGTACAGGACACTGTATCCCTGTATAGAATATATTGTATCTATAACTAATATAACCCTGTATCCTGTATAGGACACTGTATCCCTGTATATAATATATTTTATCTATAACTAATATAACCCTGTATCCGGTATAGGACACTGTATCCCTGTATAGAATATATTTTATCTATAACTAATATAACCCTGTATCCGGTATAGGACACTGTATCCCTGTATAGAATATATTGTATCTATAACTAATATAACCCTGTATCCGGTATAGGACACTGTATCCCTGCATCCTCCTGTCCCTGCTACAAGGAAGATGAACTGTATGAACCACACTCCAAGGAAAACATGTTTTTATTTAATAAAAAAAGAAGAACAAAGCTATCAATCAAATTTTCATTCCTTAAGATATATATGTATTAACAGAACAGCAATCAAAACAACTTCACAATTTCATAAAAAAATGTCCGTAAAATATCCTTACAATTTCACAACAAAAAAATATTTAGTTGAATTTTTTTTGAAGTTTCATGCAATTTTCAAAAATTCTGTATGTAAGTCCTTATTCTTCTTGAAAAATATGTTTTAAGCTTTAAACATTAAAAACAATAATTCTAGTTATTCACAAAGCTTTAATGAAAAGGCATTCTGAAGAGGTTCTAAACATTAGGTTTTGGAAATTTTAAATATGCAGAGAATTGTCAAAAGGCAGTTTCATGGTTTACATAATACCTTTTCTAAAGCAAACACTAAAGATTTTGAATTAAATATTTGAAAAAACAGAATTTCACCACGCGTCCGCCTTCAGACGGGATAATGCACTTTTAGTCTTGTTTATCTTTTTCTGGTTTCAAGCTTTACTTCTTTAGATTTAAAAAACATTAATTTCAATCTTGTTTCAGTCTATAGGGTTTAGGAAACTTTATTGTTGTTTTTGGTTTAATAAATAAATTATTAATTAACAAAGAAGTTAGCTTTGACCTAACACACAGCACTGAATACTAATGCTAATGTACTGCTTGTACAATGTACAATGTAAACACTAAAATCTTAGTTTGTCCCCCCCCCCCTGTGGGAGGGTTTCAAGCAGGGAGTGTTAAAGACAAAGCATGACATTAATGAAGGACTACAGAGCAGAGAGTAAGGAGATGTGCACTTGTTTAAACGCAGTGTGGAATTGTAGGTGGGTCAACTCACTCACTGATCCCCCAATATGTTTATTTAAAAATGCCCTGCGCTTTCTCGAATAAAGAAATTGAGTTTTTGTCACAAATTCTGATTTTCTTATCCCTTTATCTTTGCCTTTTAATGTCGGAGACCTTAGATATTTTAAACTATCAATCATTTTTCAACAAATGATGATAGTTTGAATTATCAAAGGTTTACACCATCAGGTTGAAAAGATATAGCTTTTTAAAATCAAAATTTTTGGCAAAAACTCAGTTCCTTTATGTAAACGAAGCTTTTTAGAGTTCCTTCTCAGAAACCGCAGTACTCTTTTTTGTAAGCAAATGTAATGGATTCCTGGTCTTTTTCATTTATAGGTGGTTCTGAGGGAGCATCAGTCCATTACCCCCCCCCCCTCCCCACCCCTCCCCGGGGGCCCCATTCTCTCTGAACAATTTAGAAATTAAACATATTTTTATATAGGCCATGATTAAACTTCTGGAAGATATATTAGATATATTTAGATCTGTAAGTCTGGAAGATGAATCAGAGTCCGAATTCAATTAAGTTGAGCCTCGTCTCAAATCCACCAAAAACCGGTTTCAATTGAGCGCCGGCCTAAATCTTGAAACATTAAATAGAATTTCACGTGGAACCAACCATATTTGAGTCTAGTCTCAAATTAACGCCGCGACTCAAATTTTTTTAATTCGGCCTCTAAATGGATAAAACGAAATAATACAGATAAATTTAGATCTGGAAGTCTGGAAGATGAATCTGGAAGGTTAACATGAATTAATACAAGATATATTTAGATCTGGAAGTCTGGAAGATGAAGCTGAATGGATAAAACAAAATAAACTTGAATGTAACTCCTCTCTGCATCTTCAGTTCACAGATTGTATACAGGAACAGATCACTTGTAAGGTTTGTCCTAACATAAAATATTTGATTACGTACGCTTGATGGGACTCAACATAATAATAATAAAACAAAAATGTACAAAATGTACAGTAGTATTTAACCTCCAGATCAATTGTTTAAAATAAAAAAGATCGATTGTACAACAAGATCGATGTTATAAAAAAGTAAAAGATCCATAGAACAAACAATGAATAAAACTAAAGAACAGATTGCACAAAATAAATACAAAAATTAAAAGATCGTTATTTTAAGCAACCTAAATTCCTCTTGTAGGATAAAAATGTAGAATATAAAGTGGAGGACACTCAGAAATATGTTAAGGATAAAAAATCATGTGCTACAAAATTATTTAGCATAAAAAGTCAAGAAGATCCGATAAGATGTTTACGAAAAATTATTTTAAAAAGCATCGGCTAAAATAGGCCTTGTCAGTAAACGGCAGGATTAGCTAGACTATGACTGCTAACGTAAACATTTTGTATTCTATATTGACGAAACTGAACCCTAGAATATGCACCTTGGAGAACTATCTCCTGCTGGTGGCTGTGAGGATGGTTGTGAGTGTGCTCCAGGTTATGTAGAGGATGAACAAGGAGCTTGTGTTCCAGCCGCAGCGTGTCCCTGCCATCACGGGGGCAGAAGCTATTCCCAAGGAGATGTAATTCAAAAAGATTGTAATACTTGGTAAGTTTTCTTTTTAGAAAAGTTTGCATAAAACCGTGGAATAGGAAGACGACTGTTACACTCTCAAGTTTGTTTTGAATAGTTCAATGAACATTAAACACACCAATTGTAAAAGTGTACTCAGACTCATTTTATTTAAAGGGAGGGTTCGCAAAAAATGAAAGGGGGTATAGACTAACGTCGAAAAATATTCGATGGTGATTGCTACCAATCGTACTTCTATCTGTTGTGCCTATAAGAAGAAAATTGTTAAAAACGACTCATACCGAAGAACGTAGCGTTCATACAAATTCAGAAAGTTCCAATATTCGATACGCATATCATCGTAAAAAATCAATTTAATTTCAAACAAATCATTCAGATATTTCAACCTGTAATCATCGATTTTTTTTCGACGCATTCATGTATGTTGATATTTCATAATAATTTCTATTTTTTATTATGAGAGTTACTTTTGAAAACATTCATTCCTTTTTCGAGGATTTATGATAATAAAGACGACATTTTCATATTTTCCAGGAATGTTCGAAAATCCAGCCCCAGCCGTAAAAAAAGTTGTAAGCGGAATATTAATCTAAAAAACTAAATCATATATCAAATATATACGAATGCGTCGAAAAATAATCGACAACTATAAGTTGTAAAATCTTAATGATTTGTTTGGAATTAAATCAATTTATTTTTACGATCCGGTCGAATATTGCAATTTTCTGAATTTATTTGGACGTTTTGTTCTTCGGTTTGAGTCGTTTTTAAAAATTTTCTCCTTATAGACGCAACAGTTAGAAGTAAGATTGGTGGTAGCAATCACCATCGAATATTTTTCGACGTAAGCCTAAACCCCCTTTCATTTTCTCAAACACTCCTTTTAACAAATTATTTTTCATGCTACTTTTATAACTCTTTGTTTTGTAACAATATAAAACACAACAGATAAGATTCCTTGTTTGTCGTCTTCCTATTCCACCGTTTTCCGGGGTCCTCTGTGTGTGGGCAAATAGGAAATAAACAGCGGAATGATTTTTTTTGCTTATATTGTTAATTCAATTACCACTATAAGAATGTAGCTATATATCTCTTTGTTATTGTTGTTCTGTAGTTCCTGTGTGGTTTGATATTGTTGTTGTTTAGTTCCTGTATGGTTTGTTATTGCTGTTTCCTTAGTTCCTGTGTTATTGTTGTTGTTTAGTTTCTGTGAAGATTGTTATTTTTGTTGCTTAGTTCCTGTGTAGTTTGTTATTGTTGTTGTTTAGTTCCTGTGCTGTTTATTATTGTTGCTGTTTAGTTCCTGTGTAGTTTGTTTAGTCCCTGTGTAGTTTATAATTTTTGTTGTTTAGTTCCTGTGTAGTTTGTTATTGTTGTTTAGTTTCTGTATGGTTTGTTATTGTTGTTGTTTAGTTCCTGTATGGTTTGTTATTGTTGTTTCTTTAGTTCCTGTGCTATTATTGTTGTTTAGTTCTTGTGTAGATTGTTATTGTTGCTGTTTAGTTCCTGTATGGTTTGTTGTTGTTGTTGTTTAGTTCCTGTGTAGTTTGTTATTGTTGTTGTTTAGTTCCTATGTAGTTTTTTATTGTTGTTGTTTAGTTCCTGTGTAGTTTGTTGTTGTTGTTGTTTAGTTCCTGTGTAGTTTGTTATTGTTGTTGTTTAGTTCCTGTGTAGTTTGTTATTGTTGTTGTTTAGTTCCTGTATGGTTTGTTGTTGTTATTGTTTAGTTCTTGTGTTGACGGAATCTGGAGTTGTTCTACTAAAGATTGTCCAGGACAGTGTTCGGTCTGGGGGGAAGGACATTTTACAACCTTTGACAGGTTAAGATTTAGAAAAGAAAAAAACTTAATACAATGTCGTCTTCGATATTTTTCAAATCGATTTTTCAATTTTTTTTACCAATTTTTTAAATCTTTTCATAATAGATTGAAACAAAATTGAGAAAAATATGTTACTAATTTCAACTTTTAACAGCATTCCCTTTTTATCCCTCTCCCATGTCGTCTTCTAAATTCAATTCTTCTACAATTAGTAATTAAAAATTAGTATGAACATGGTTAAGCAGAATAACCGAGGCCAAAACGTTGTCCAAGCCCCCTTTGTTATTTTATTGCAAATAATATTTACATTATTTCCTGTTTATAAATTGATTGAACATTGATTGAATTTAAAATTGAAAACACAAGTTTACTGTAAAGAAGATTAGAGATAATGTCGTCTTACAAATTTATTTCTTCCAATTTAAATACATAATAACTTTGTTTTTAGAAAAAGTTATAGTTTCCTTGGAAGCTGTGAATATATTCTTGCAAAGGGATACTTAACAGAATCAGACTCTTTTACGATTAGGTAAATTAAAATTAGTATAGTTTAAAGTTGAATTGTGTATTTAATTAAACTCCAATGCTCAAAGCGAAATGTAAAGAATGTTAAAATTATGTTATTTTTTATTATTTCATTCCACTTCAGTTAAATATATTATATTTCTTTCTTTAGTATTTATTCTTTTCTTTTTTATGATACTACCTGTAATTTTTGTTATTCCATTTTATTCTATTTTAGTGTAAAGAATGTTCCTTGCGGGACCAGTATAGTAACATGTTCCAAATCTTCAACTCTGACAATAGGAACAGGATCTCATCAGGAACATATTCAGCTGCTTAAAGGAACAGATGTTAAAGTTAAAAAGGAACATAAACGTATCAAGGTAAAGATGGATATTAAATTACTTGTTGGGAAATGGGGCAAAGATCTAACTCTGTCCTCTACTACATCTCTCTTATCTCTATTTATAAGTTTTGATGGTTTTATTATATTATCTTATCTGTACAAAAAACTTAAATTAAGAAATATATTTAGGTTGTTGATTCCGGAATGTATCTCCGAGTAGAGGTTTATGATATGGGACTCAGTATAGAGTGGGATAAAGGAAATAAACTTTACATCAAACTTAAACCAAGGTGATGTAAACTAAAGAAACACGTGTATATGTATTTAAAGCTTGCAAAAAATACTTCTAAGAAACGAGAAAAAAAATAGGCGTTTTTGTTTTAAGCTACACAGACTAATGAAAAATTAAAAGCCTGCTTTACATCGATATTCTTGAAACCTTAATTTTAATATATGTTTAATTTTGATTATTTCCCCCGTCTTTCTTATAAGCAATAAATGCGCAAGTCAAAATAAACAGTTTTTAAAATCAAAAATATTCAGTTCTGATTCATATTTAATCAGACGGAGAGGTTTTAAGGGTACCGTTGTGAATCTTGCGTTGCCATCTTATACAGTCCCTTTAAAGCCTAATTAATTGATTTATTGTGAATAGTATTATTGTTTAGATGGAAAGGAAGTGTAAAGGGATTGTGTGGGAACTACAATGGGATCGGATCAGATGATTTAAAATCCCCAGGAGGAATTATAGAATCCTCTCCGGTTCTATTCGGGGACACTTGGAAACTACACAGCTACTGTCCTCCAGCAGTCATACAACAGGTCAGATTAAAGGGACTGTCAAGCGACTCTCCATTTTAGAGAGGCATGTTAGATTCACAACGTTTGTCTGATCAACAATGACGGGAAAATCTTACAGAGAAGTGAATATTATCAATACTAGGGTTATATATGATTGTAAGATTTAAATGGTACAGTTGTGCAACAAACATGCCACAGAAAATTACATCAATATTCCCTTTAAGATGTTCTTTCTAAAATGACTTCAACCCACTGTCAACCAAAATCCGTATTTCCCTATCACGCATTTTAAACTATACACAAGACTCAAGAGAAAAGCACGTTAAAGTTATAACTTTTACATGTCTTAGTCTATAAAAAAATTAGTTAATGAGGCAAAAAACAAAGGTGAAGTCAACAAAGTCAACCCGGTCTTGAAAATTGATCCATAATTTGAATAGCTGTCTGGATATTTAAACTATTAAAAGAATTGTCGTTAAACTAGAATTGAGAGCTAAGGAGGTATAGTAGACGAATACAATTCATACTCTAATAGACGAAATCTAAAAAATCGCTTATGTGGCAGATAATGTTTTGGATTATTGCAAATGAGACAAAAAAACTCGCTTTTTTAAGAGCAAAAAGTTGAACGACTGTCAAATTAGCGATTGTTTTTAAATAGTAGCGAATTTTTGAAGAGTTTCAAATTTCAGGTCGTCATTTAAGGGACTGTAAGCGTAATTTCAAATCACCCTCTATAAGAAAAAACATCGCTCATTTAGCAGCAAAAAGCAGAACGACTGCCAAATAAGCGATTTTTTGTTAAATATTAGCAATTTTTGTCGCTTCTTCGGCAGCCATCCAACTTTTGCTTCCAAATAAGTGATCTTTTTTATTTCATAATTTAGAGTGCAGAGTAGTAAAGTATAATATTGTAAAGAGCAGGATAGTTCATAACAAACCCGCTAGCCATGAAAAAAAAATGAAATTAACTTTATATTTTTATTTCTGTTTTGTTCAAAAACTTATTATATCTATAGAAATGACCATTGCATCAAAGATTTCATAAAAAGCTATACTGTATTATACACCTTCAATGTTCACTGTTCACTGTTCAGTTTTTACGACGTTAGAATAAATATTCGAGCCATCGAATGAATTTATAAATTACATATAGTCCTGCATTTCTTCCTAAATTACATATAGTCCTGCATTTCTTCCTAAATTACATATAGTCCTGCATTTCTTCCTAAATTACGTATAGTCCTGTATTTCTTCCTAAATAACATATAGTCCTGCATTTCTTCCTAAATTACATATAGGCCTGCATTTCTTCCTAAATTACGTATAGTCCTGCGCGCATTTCTTCCAAAATTACATATAGGCCTGCATTTCTTACTAAATTACGTATAGTCCTACGCGCACTTCTTCCTAAATTACATATAGTCCTGAATTTCTTCCTAAATTACATATAGTCCTGTATTTCTTCCTAAATTACATATAGTAAAAAAACATCTTTATAATCGCTGATGAACATCGTAATCAATAGTAGTCCTACAGTGTGTAAGTAAAAAGTCTAATCTGTTAAGTGCTCCAGGCGTTGAGGTTACTGTTGAGTAATTTCTCTAGTTCTTAGTCTTCACAGAGACAAATTATAAAAAGTTCTGTTTTTGCTCCATCAGCCTTTTCTCTACACCTATTCAGCCTAACCTATTGTTCGACTATGTCCACTAATACGAAAGATTTAATAGATGATAGAAAAAGAGATTAGTTTCTGGCATATATCAATTAATCTATCCAGGATTACAAGCAAGGATTGCAATTATATGTTTCATAAAAAAACATTCTTTTATTCATAAACACAAGATTAAAATATAAAATAAGAATTTTCCCATACCTATATTTCTGCATCCTAATGGTCTAACCCTTTGATATTTCAAATAACATATTGACTGTATTTTCTGTCAGTAATCAAGTCTAAAATATCAAATTTCTACGACCTCAGGTTCCAAAGATAAAGTGATTAGAATTTATAATATGAGGAGAGTTAGTTCGTTTTATCAATTTATTTTGTAAATGTTTTAAACAGATTTAATCATCTAGCAGTAAACATTACCCGCTCATGATATTAATTCCACTTCTCTTATATTGCAGGCTAATAACAATACAGTAAAAAGAAAACAATTGTAGATTCTATTTTTATAACTGCAATCTATCTATTTTCACTAAACTTCATCCTCCATCCTTTTTGGAGAAGTATATAGTGGGTACCATTAAACTGTAAAATAAAAAGACGAGATTTAACAAAATCAACCTGGCCCTGCTAAGTTAAATGGTTCTATTTCATGTTCACCGCACAATTCTTCTGATGCTTTTTATTGGATAATTTTGTTTATTTTCTAATTTCAGGATACATGTTCCATCCATCCTCACAGAAAACTCTGGGCTTCCAAGAAATGTGGAATCCTGAAATCTGAAACCTTTAAGCCTTGTCACTCAGAGGTTCCACTGAACACTTGGTAATCTTTAAACCTTGTCACTCAAAGGTTCCGCTGAACACTTGGTAATCTTTAAACCTTGTAACTCAAAGGTTCCGCTGAACACTTGTTAATCTTTAAACCTTGTCACTCAGAGGTTCTACTGAACACTTGGTAACCTTTAAACCTTGTCACTCAAAGGTTCCGCTGAACACTTGGTAATCTTTAAACCTTGTCACTCAAAGGTTCCGCTGAACACTTGGTAATCTTTAAACCTTGTCACTCAGAGGTTCTACTGAACACTTAGTAACCTTTAAACCTTGTCACTCAGAGTTTCCAATAAACACTTGGTAATCTTTAAACTTTGTCACTAAGAGGTTCCACTATACACTTGGTAATCTTTAAACCTTGTCACTCAGAGGTTCCACTAAACACTAGGTAATCTTTAAACCGTGTCACTCAAAGGTTCCACTAAAACTTAGTAATCTTTAAACCTTGTCACTCAAAGGTTCTACTGAACACTTGATAATCTTTAAACCTTGTCACTCAAAGGTTCTACTGAACACTTGATAATCTTTAAACCTTGTCACTCAAAGGTTCCACTAAACACTTGGTAATCTTTAAACCTTGTCACTCAGAGGTTCCACTAAACACTTGGTAATCTTTAAACCGTGTCACTCAAAGGTTCCACTAAAACTTAGTAATCTTTAAACCTTGTCACTCAAAGGTTTCACTAAACACTTGGTAATCTTTAAACCTTGTCACTCAGAGGTTCCACTAAACACTTGGTAATCTTTAAACCGTGTCACTCAAAGGTTCCACTGAACACTTGGTAATCTTTATACCTTGTCACTCAGAGGTTCCACTAAACACTTGGTAATCTTTAAACCGTGTCACTCAAAGGTTCCACTAAAACTTAGTAATCTTTAAACCTTGTCACTCAGAGGTTCCACTAAACACTTGGTAATCTTTAAACCTTGTCACTCAGAGGTTCCACTAAACACATGGTAATCTTTAAACCTTATCACTCAAAGGTTCTACTGAACACTTGATAATCTTTAAACCTTGTCAAAGGTTCTACTGAACACTTGATAATCTTTAAACCTTGTCAGTCAAAGGTTCACTAAACACTTGGTAATCTTTAAACCTTGTCACTCAGAGGTTTCACTAAACACTTGGTAATCTTTAAACATTGTCACTAAGAGGTTCCACTATACACTTGGTAATCTTTAAACCGTGTCACTCAAAGGTTTCACTAAAACTTGGTAATCTTTAAACCTTGTCACTCAGAGGTTCCACTAAACACTTGGTAATCTTTAAACCTTGTCACTCAAAGGTTCCACTAAACGCTTGGTAATCTTTAAACCTTGTCACTCAGAGGTTCCACTAAACCATGGAAAAAGGGGACTTGAATTATATAAACACACCGGGGTATACTCTATATGCAGATGCCCTGAAGAAAAGTCTCAGACTTAACCTCATTTACCCAAGGCTTAGGACTTTTTTTCTAGGTTTTTTTCTTCGGATATATTTTCTTCAGGACTTTTATTTCCTGAGAGTGACACTTTATTGGCAGCCCCCATATTATTTTAGAGAAAAAAAATCCCGGGAATCTAAAACTCAGTGCTTTGTTTCCAGTGACATTTTGTCCTAGGACATCAGAAAATTGGGACTTTTTCACCAAAGTTTTTATTTTCAGGTTTTTTTTCAAGAAACTTTAATTCCTGTGACTTTCTTACATAGATTCTTTATGAATGTCAATGAAGTTAAATTGATATTATTATTTTAAAAGTATTTTGAGACAATGATTTATAAATGATAGAATTTCTTTAAAATAATGCATTGATTTTTCTAATTATTTTTTTTCCAAGGTATGAAGAGTGTGTGAAAGATACCTGTGGTTGTAACGTAGGTGGAGATTGTGAATGTTTATGTACAGCTGTATCTGCTTATGCACACGCATGTACAATGGCAGGGATTAATATTCAATGGAGAAACCAAGGACTTTGCGGTAAAGTTTTAGATTTAAACTTATTTTAAAGAATCTTTTAATCATTACTAACTTATGTTTCAGCCATGCAATGCCCACGGGGTACAAGTTACAGTCCATGTGCGAGCAAATGCCCCGTAGAAACTTGTGATAACAGCGCCATCTTTAAACGATTATCGTTGGCTTGTGAAGACGACGTGTGCACAGAAGGATGTTCTCCTGACCCCTGTAGACCTGACAGCGTCAAGGAGGTTGAACTATGTGTTTAATTATCATGATAAAATGATATAATAATAATAATTCCAATAAGGGTGAAACTATTTTGTGGAAAATGTCGAATCCTTTTTGCACCAGCAAACAATCATACAGAGGAAAATAAAAAGTAACATTATAAAAGAAAAATTTGAAAAAATCAAAACTCATTCAGTAAATAACAATGTTAAAAAACATAGATCATAATAGTAGATCGATTTTTAATTTTTTCTAAACAGATATTTTGATATCCATCTTAACTTAAAAAAAATGTTTCAAGAAAACTATAGAAATGGTGCAAGGTGGATTTATGGAGTTTTATCAGAAAAGTGTCCCATTAGTTTCACTCTTAGAACTAATTAATGTTTAAAAAAATAAATATTTTAGGATCTGCAGAGTATGCGTTGTATTCGTAAAGTAGACTGCAAACAGAAATGTTTAAAAGAAGACGGAATTCAGGAACAAAGTTTAATAAAAACCGAGAAGTAGTTTAACTATGTAGATTAGTTGAACTACTTTGAGTTTAACCGGTGCAAACAATAACTGGTTGATCTACGTTTATAACTACAGGTTACCCACTAAGGATGAGACTGCAAAGACGACCTGAAACTCATGTAATATGACGATCCTTAGGTTAAATCAAATCTTCTGCAATACATATGTCTTTTAAAAGCGTATTTAATGATTTGGCTAAGAAAGAACCAAGGTTACAGTTGCAGGGAATTGTGAAAATAAGGAAACAGACAGTATTAGTTCCGTACAGTCGTCTCTGAAGTCTCATCCTTTATGGGTAACCCTGCACTTCTCTCTATTGATTAAATCTTGCTCCAGTATTATGAAGGAGATATCATCAAATCTACGGAATGTCAAGTTTGGTGAGTTTAATATAAATCACCCAACCTCGACATGAAGAATATTTTGTTTTTGTTTCAGTAAATGCATAAACAAGGCTAAGGTTTGTGAGAATATCTGCGACACCTCTGAGGACGGATATTCTAAACCTGTCACAGGTACATTTTATATTTGTTTTTCAACTTTCTATCCCTTTTCCTTCCAGAGAAACTTAAAACAAAAATAACCAATTTTCTAAAAGAAGATGATGGATATCTCGTTAATTTTTAATAAAGCGCAGCTTGTAAGGGTAAAGTTGTAAATCAGACATGCCACAACACGAATGGAGATCTGTCACTTAATATTATGTTTCTTCAATTGTTTTACTCAACTCTTCTGTTTCCTTTCTTATCATTTCTCACTTTTCTGTTTTTTTTCTTTAAAATCTTTCTTAATTTTACCCTTTTTGCCCTTTTTGCCCTTTTTGCCCTTACTCATCCCATTTTTTTAAAACACACATTTTTATTATAATCTCTTTTCTTGTTTTCTTGAATACAAAATATTCTTGGTTTTCAAATATGTTAATTCAAAATCTTGAAGATTTAAATAATCCTGAGATGTTCAAATATAATTCAGCGGTCCAACAAAGAAGAATAAAAAACAAGAAATATACACAAAGTGTGTAATTTGGATAAAATATATAAAATGTTCAACAGAGCAAGCAAGGATAATTGGACCAATTATTCTTTAGTTTGTAGAATAGAGAAATATAAAATGTACTCGGCACAAAAAACTGCGAATTGTGGTTTTCATTTACTGAAGGTAGTTTCTCTTCTCCTGGTCACGTGATCAACTTTTATGACTGAACTGAATAAACAGAAAAATAGTTTTTATTTAATTGTAAACTATTTTTTTAATAGTATTGTTTATGTCCAATTCCAATGTTTAAATACCTATTCTTAAACAAGCCGCCCCCCCCTCCCCCCGATTTACGTAAAAGTTCGTTAATTAGATCGACTCCCACCACCACTTTTTACACATACATGTGAACAGTTTCTTTTAATCTTCCTGACAGAAACAATCTCAAGGAATAATAATTTTCTTCAAACATTTTGCAAATTATCTTTTTTTCCATCTCATGATCTGAGTTCGTTTTCCTTTTGTCCATTTGACAGCCCCAGACCGAACTATATTTTCAATAAATGTGGAACTAACATCTACTTTTTTACTCTAAAGAGGTTTGGTTCATCACCATAACCGAATTTTAAAATTTAAAGCTGTAGTTTTACGCCTTTTTAAGAAAAAACTGACAAAGGAATTGAGTCTTTGCCACAAACTCTGATTTTCTAATCACTATATCTTTGGAAACAAATGTTGCACACCTTAGATATTTCTAACTATGAATTGTGTTAGATCAAATAATCTGAGTTTGAAATATCGAAGGTTTACAACATCGAGTTCTAAAGATATTGAGGTTTAAATATTTGATTTTGTTCCAAAGACTCAATTCCTTTCTTAAAAATTTTTGTGTGAGAAATTACATCCTTGTAATCACTGTAATCCACGAAAATCCAATACCTTCTTTTATAAATAGTGCTCTGTCTCTTTAGTAAACGATCCATATACATTTTTAATTTATGTTTTATTCTCTTGACAGATATAAAACTGCAGATTCAGGTTATAAACAATATTTAAACCATATTTTCTTTTATTGCATTTTAATACTCACGAGTCACGGTTGTATTTCAAGTTTTAGATTCGTATTACAACGGGACGAATATTGGGTTGGTATTGAGCTGTACTCCGGGTTGGACAAACTTGATCAATGCTTCAACTCCTCTCACACAAACCACACCTTTTACGGTATTCATATTTGGTCATTAATAACATATTTAAATAAAACAAAACTTTTGTAAAGAAAATGAGTTTTTGCCAAAAACTATGATTTTCTAATCTCTATATCTTAGCAATCTAATGTCACAGACCTTAGATATTTCTGAATTCTGTTTAATCAAACAATCCAAGTTTGAAATGTCAAAAGTTTACACCATCATATATCAGATTGAAAAGATATATGAACTCGGAAATTCGATTTTGTGGCTAAGACTCAATTCTTTTTCCGAAATGTAATTCAACTTATTTTTTCCCTTAAATTCTTTCATATTTGTAAATCACAAAAACATTAAATAATCAAGATATAATATTTCAATTTAATGAAATTTTTAGCGCAACTTCAAACTTTTGTGCATAAGAGCTTAATATTATCTTAATGAAAGAGAAACGACTTTGCAGGGGAAGGGGGGGGGATTGAAATTTGTTAGTTTTGTAAGAAATAACAAAACTAAGTAATACTTATTCGGCAACATGTAAAGAGGGTTTAAATACATTTAATCTTTTCAAAATCTGCAGAATCTGATTTTGTATTAAAAAAATCAAAATTTTAAACCAAACTAAAGTAAATTGCTGGTAACATTTAAATGTTTGTATGTTTTCAATAACTCCTCTTTGATAAGAGCTATTGATAAAAATAAAAAATTTCTAATTTCTAATGTTTAACCAAATAAATTTGCTTTCTCATACTTGTAGCATAAAAACTAAAAAAGGAGCCACGAGGTTACAAAGACGAACCAAGAGTGTATAGTTTTCAGTGTGTTTTTGTTAGGTTCTTGGAGGTTGGTGTGCTAGACCCGAGATGGAGAGGATTGAGTGCCAAGGATCCGGAGATATGAACGGGGTTCAATGCTCTCTGGAGTACCCTGTATCTTGTCCGTCCTGCTCCCAGCTCCAGTATAGAGTACTTTGTTCATGTGAGCAAACTATTTCATCCCTGTCAAACTAGTATCTTGAAAGGAACTGAGTTTTTGCCACAAGTTCAGATTTTCTAATCCCTATATCTTTGCACCCCGATGATGTAAACCTTAGATATTTGAAACTTAAACTGTTGTACCTACCAGATATTGAATGATTAAAGTTTACAATATCAAAAGGTTTACATTATCAGGTTTCAAAGATTTAAGGATTAGAAAATCAGAGATTTGTGCAAAAACTTCGCGTAATTTGAGTCAAATAGATATCGATATATGAATAAGGAACTGATAACCTGGCTCCACCCTAACTTTCTGATCCGTATATTTTTGCAACCCGGTGGTGTAAACTTAAGTTTTTTTAAAGTTTGAAATATCAAAGGTCTGCAACATCAAATTACAAAGATATAAGAAAATTATGAGTTTGTGGCGAGAAATCAGTTCTTATGAAATTATTTTCTTTGCACGTCTTATGAAATGATTTTTTACTAATTTTAAAAGAAAATTTTAAACTGAATCAAAGATAAGTTTTTTTTAATCAGTCGCATCCCCAGAAAGTGTGGGATAATGAATATGCTTGAAAAGTATTCACATATAGTGCTGTTTGTTTACTTTAGATAAACAAATATTTCTTTTCTATTTTGCCCAATATTTACACAAATGCAAATAACCTGCAAATTAACACGAAGGAATTCATCTCGACTGACTTAACATTGTTTATATTTACAATGTTGTATAGGTGGATATTTTACAAACAATATGTTATTACAGTGTGGATAAAAAAGATTTTTGGGTTGGAATTTTGTTTTATAAAATGTAAACCATTCATTTTCCTTGATTCACTTCAAGAACAAGATTTGGAAAAAGTCGTAGGGCCACTAACCGGTCTTTAGATGAACTAAGTTCTTGCCACAAACTCTGATTTTTTAGTTCAATATCTTTTCAACCCGAAGTCGTAGACCTTTGATATTTTATTTTATGAATTCTGTCCAACACCATCAGATTGCAAAGATAAAGGAATCAGAAAAGTTGAATTTGTAGCAAGAGCTCAGTTCCTTAACAATTAACCCGTTTTTTAAAGTTTCTTTCGTTGCACATACCGTTAGTCTATTAAAAGAATTTTTTTAAGGTTAAAAATCAAATTTCAACGATTTTATCAAAACCAAAAGAACTGATTACCGGCCTCAATTTCTAATTTTCTAATCCCATGTATCTTTGCAACCTGATGGTCTAAACTTAGGATATTTCAAACCTCGACAATTTGATCTGTCAGAACCCATTATTTGAAATAACAAAGGTAAACAACATCAGGTTGGAAAAATGCGAGGATTAGAAAAATTAGATTTTCTGTGAAATGAATCTTCTATTTAAATATTGTCAGGTAAACCCGAGCAGATGTCCCTGAATATAGATATTGCTCTGGTTGGATCTTGTATACAACCCTACTCTAGATACCCACATAGAGCAAACTGTAAACTCTTCTACAACTGTGAACAGGCAAGATGTATTCAATATTAATTACGTTAATTAAATGCATAAACATTACAACTTTTTAAGGAAAGCATCCAAGTGAATATTTCCAAAATAAATTTTTAATAAATTTTCTGTCCGCAGAGTTTGGTTAAATAACTTTAACGCGAGTAATCAGTTCCTTTAATTAGCATACATATACTTTTGTAATGTAATCTGCTCAAATCTGAGTACTTAATGATTTTTGATAAATATTAAAATAAGTCATTAGAAGTGTTACTTATTTGGAAATATCCTAATTACCGAATATCCGTGAAGGTTTTAATCTATGTATTCTATAGAGGAGAGGAGGAGGAGTAGGGTTGATAGAGAATGTTTGCCCTGATGATCAACTGTTCGATCAAACCCTGAAGGTTTGCTCAGATCCTAGCTCCATCATTAGCCGCCAACCCTGGTGTTCTCAGAGCTTCAATATCCCTACAGAACTAAACCTGCTCTTGAACAAGGTTCATGTCTCAGCTCAGGGTGTATTCTCGGATCTAGAGAACTACAACCTCAATGTCTCCTATATTGAGAAGATGAAAACCTTAACTCAGCAGTTTAACGAATATTCTAAGCTTACAATTATCAATGATTCAGATCGGAAAACAATTATTGAGAATGCAAAACAATTCTTTATATTTACTCAAACTTTGACGGAGTTTTCTCATTCGTTTTCCTCCGAAACAAATAGAAAAATTGAAGAACTTCGCTCCGTCTTGAACAAGGTTCTGTTTAAAACCAACTATAACCCCGACTACCAATCCAACAAAACCTTGGAAAAGCTTAAAAAGATCAATATTGAATTGGAAAAGCTTCAGATCTCCCTGGATAAAGTCGAAGCTGAAGATTCCAACTATCTGCTAGCTGAAGATTATACCCAGAGAAAGACTCGTCTCAACCATATCTCTCATCAGATAAATGAAATCTTGTATCAATACAACACCGGAACTATAAATAAAACCATGCTTATCTCCAAACTGAGAGAAATCAGAGAAGATATTAAATCCTCTGGACCATCATCAGAACTAGACTTGGTACAGAGTATCCTTACTGCAGCTCTAACTGATCTTGGTTGGGTTGAGAGTATTCTCAAGGATGAAACTACATGTGACATATCTCTCATCCATATACCTGTTCCTGGAGACTGTTCTTCGTTCTACCAGTGTACAGGGGTACCTGGATCCCCAGGAAAACGTGTCAAGAAACAGTGTGGACCAGGAACTATGTTTAATCCTGTCAGACTGATCTGTGATTGGCCCCTCAATGTTTACAAAATAAATCCTGACTGCAATATTAAACAAACCACAACTCCTTCCAATGTATACAGTACAGAACCACCGAAAGTACAAATTTCAACACTTTCTAGAGGAGATAACTTTGCTGGAATCACATCCCTTAATCCAAACCTAGTTATTGATTCATCCAATCCCTATCAAAGTTCCTCCAATCCATCCGATCAATCCAGTAATCCTTATGTTGCAGGAGGACTTCTTTTTACAATCCCTAGATACATCAGTTCTCCTAGTCCTATAGTTTACACAACTGGAAATCCTGTTACAGCCGGTCTCCCTGTTAAGAACAGTACCTGGAAAACAGACCCAACCTTGACAGATCCTGTTCTCCTAGTTCAGAGTACAAAATCTCCTCCTTTAGCGTGTCCTGAAGATAGGTAATGGAACGGACCACTTGCCGCAAACTCTAGTTTTTATATTCCTTTATCTTTGGAACCTGTTGATGTTAACCTTTGATAATTTAAACTTTAAAGTTTTGATCAAGCAGAAATAATAGTTTAAACTGTCAAAGCTCTGAGACACCAGGTTGCACATATATATGGTTTAGAAGATTAAATTTTAGACAAGTGTTTTGTGGCAAATTCTATGATTTTTTTATTATAGAAAAAAAATGTCAAATTAAAAGAAAACTTTACCACCAAAGTTTCGTTGTTACATTTTTATCTTTATTTTCTTTAATAAAAGCCTTTTTTTAGATTGTATGATTTATTGATGGATGTACCAGACTCTGGATTCTCTGCTTCTTCTAGTGCCCAGAGAAGTTCTGCAACCTTTGGTCGTATGCTGGACCTCAGTGTGTTTGCAAGGAATGCTTTACTCCAGGAGTATACTGAGATAGGTAATTAACTCCACTACACTGAGGATTCATGAACCATTGTTTGATTGTAAATCGGTGCAATGCTGATTTTCAAAACTTATTTTTGAATCCTTGTGGGTAGTACTTACCCCTAAACAGGCTGGTTGGGGCCCCCTCCCCCTCTAGTTTTGTTTTAATGCATAGGGTTTCGTACACCGTGCAGGAGGGTTTAAAAAGGACGGTCAGCTTTTAAAAAATATCTAAAATTATGTAGAATGTAGAAACATGTGTAATGTTTTAATGTTTATCGAAAAACAAAAAGATATTTTAACATTTTTCCGACTTTTATTTACATTTTTCACTATTAAAGTAAGAGTTTTTTTTCCTGAGCTGTCCTTGAAAAAATTGTATTATTATTATGCATTGTATATACATACCTTTACTCTACGGCCTTTTTCTATGTATTGTATTTTTTTCACGTACAAACTATTTCATTTTTGCACCTACAGACGCTTTCAGTTTTTCACCTACTTTAAGAAATCTTCTACGAATCAATGTCTATACAATCTGTGATGTTTCGACAATTACTGATTCAAAATTTCAAATATTTCTTCGAATTCAGATTGTACTTAGTGTAATTGTTGCAGATGCCTGGGTGCCTGAAGTACAAACTAGGAATGAGTTTCTTCAGATAGATTTAGGAAATATTATTCCAATATTTGGTTTGGAGGTTCAGGGTTCAACTGAACTAGATGCATACGTATCCTCCTTCTCAATCCTGTACAGTGAGAATGGGAATACCTTCTCTCAAGTCCGGGATGCAAATAACAATCTGAAGGTGGGATATAGATATAAGTTCTAAATATTCTAGACAGAGAGAGAGAAGGTCAAATTTATGCGACATTATAGGTACTACTATCCGACCTCGTAGCTCCTCTAGTTTTGATGTTCACACAAATATGAGAAAAGAAATTTGATTTGGTTCCATATACTTGAAATTTAAACATTTTTCTTCTTTTTGATGGCTTTAAAATCAAAGGAATTGAGTTTTAATTTTAGTGGGTTATACATAAAAAACATTTTTGTTGATGTTTATTTGTAGTTTTAAACCAATTTGTCTCATTGTCTCTAAAACCATTCCCAATTGTTTTTTGTTTTTTTAAAAACTTTGGAAGAAATTTTATACTTCTGAAACTTTGGACTTGTTTATTGATAAGAATTTATTTTTAGATTTTCAACGGGAACTATGACAGCAGTACTCCGATAAAAGTTATTCTATCACAGGGAATAGAAACCAGAATTCTCCGGATATATCCGCAAACTTGGGTTAACTTTATTGCTCTCAAGATTGAGATCTTTGGCTGCTCTAATCCTTATCCTGTTTCAAAAACCCTACCTGGAGTAACCAAACCTGCACCAGGAGCTGGGATTTATCAATCAATTATAAATGAGATTGGAGTTAACATCACTAGAGAAATCAACGAAATAGAAACTATTGTAGGGATTGGTCTTATAGATGAAGATCTTGATCCTGAGCTCTCCAGGTTGATAATGGAGCAGTATAAAAAGATTAAAGATTTATCTAAACAGCTGGAAAACTATTCCTCCTCCGAGGATATAAATTCTCTAATTCAGATCTCAGAAACCATTGATCTTGAAATACAAACGATCATTAAGATTATTAAAGAAAATTCACAGAACGGTAAACTCCAGGAGTATCTTCAAACCTCTCTTGTAAAAAAAACAACCTCTCTGCAAGAGCTAAGTTCAACCTTGAAATCCTTGGTGGAAAGTTCTCCAGGTAGAGAGAAGAACCAATACACTGACTTGTTCACCACCGTGAAGGAGGAAGTAGTCCAGATCAGCAACCTACTGGAGGAGATCAAGGAGAACAAGGATGAGGGTTCAAGAAGCTCATCCGATCTCCAAGATCTAATGAAAACTCTCCAGGAAACCGTCCTACAGTTGGAGAATTATAAAACCGAGATAGATCAGGAAGGAAGACTCACCGAGCTATCGATTAGTAAACTGTTGGCCGAGATTGAGAAAATAAGGCGAGCAAAGGATAAACTAGAAACTACGGATTTCCAGGAAGATCTGAACCAGGAGGAGAAGTCAACCATCCAACAAACAAACACAAAGACAAATACTATCCTTGCTCAACTCATATCTTATGCTGATAATTCAAAACAGACAGGTAACTGGGATAGGAAGGGAAAATTCCAAAAAATTTAAGAAATTGAGTCTTTACCACAAACTCTGATTTTCTAATCCCTATATCTTTGCTAACCTTAGATATTTCAAATAATGAATTATGTTACATCAAAAAAAATAAGTTTGAAAGGTCAAAGATATAGTTTGCAAAGATATAAGGATTTGAAAATTTCAGTATGTCCACAAAAACTCTTTTCCTTTTCAATCAATCTAAATCTAAATAATTTAAATTGACATGTGCACTGTGCAGTGTGCAGTGCAAAGCTTTGTCAAAGATTTATTAGAAGAACTTCAAATCAATTTTTCCAGAAATTCCAAATCAACGTGTTACATCTTCTCCATACGTTACAGAGACACCATCAGAGATTGCGAAAGGTATGATTTTCAGAATATGTAATTATAATTATGAGCATTAAAAGAAATTAATTTTTCAGCCAAAAACTGTCTGAACGTTTACACTATTGGAGAAGGGGGAATCCGTCCTGAGATGGTTTCATTGAGTTCAGTTTACTCCGAGGATAAGTTTAGGTTTGGATCAGCTCAGGTTGGATTAAACTCTAGGTCTGGCTGGAGACCTGCTAGGAACAGTATGCAGGAATCATTAACTGTGAGTATCTACAGTATGTTCAGTATTTTTTTCAACTGCAAAAACTATCAAAGAATCTCTTTTTTACTTCAACAATTTATAAATACTAATGTCAATTTTATTCTTGTTTAAATATTTTAGATAAAAACGACAAATAATCACAAAACATCAATCTCAACCGTAAATAAAAACAAAACTAATTTTGTTTAGTTTAATTGATATTGTTTGATATAATTAATATAGTTTGTATGCAGGTGAATCTGGGAAGTGTGAGTACTATTTCTGGATTAAAAACACAGGGTCTTCACAGTTCTACAAGTTGGATTCAAGCATTTCAAATAAAATACAGTAATGATAAGATATCCTGGAGCACTATACAAGACAAAAATACACGAGGTATATTTCAGTTCATAATCAATCATAAATATTTGACCGATCCAAAGCAAAAACTAGATTCTCAGTTTGTTGCGGTTTTCCCAAAAACCTCTCAGCAATTTATACTAATGATATTGCATACGTCTAATCGTTTGGTTTTGCAGGGGATAGAATATTCACTGGAAACTACGATAGTGAGACAGTTAACACGCAGTTCTTTGATAAACCAATCAGTACAGTTTTCATACAAATTGCACCCTTGAAATGGCATGGAGACATTGGGCTTAGGCTTGCTCTAATTGGGTGCATTGATCCTTGGTATCTTGATAAACCTGGTAGTAATACGGAATATCCAGATACCAATGAACTAGGTGGATATGGAAATGTTGGAACTACTAAAACTCCAGATAATGCTGGACCAGGAGGATATGGAAATGTTGGAACCACTAAAACTCCAGATAATGCTGGACCAGGAGAATATGGAAATGTTGGAACCACTAAAACTCCAGATAATGCTGGACAAGGAGGATATGGAAATGTTGGAACCACTAAAACTCAAGATAATATATGGAAATGTTGGAACCACTAAAACTCCAGATAATGCTGGACAAGGAGGATATGGAAATGTTGGAACCACTAAAACTCAAGATAATGCTGGACTAGGTGGATATGGAAATGTTGGAACCACTAAATCTCCAGATAATGCTGGACTAGGAGGATATGGAAATGCTGGAACTACTAAAACTCCAGATAATGCTGAAAAAGGTGGATATGGAAACGTTGCAACAACTAAAACTCCAGATAATGCTGGACCAGGAGGATATGGAAACGTCGCAACTACTAAAACTCAAGATGATGCTGGAGTAGGTGGATATGGAAATGTTGGAACTCCTAAAACTCCAGATGCCAATGGACTAGGAGGATATGGAAATGTTGGAACTACTAAAACTCCAGATGCCAATGGACTAGGAGGATATGGAAATGTTGGAACCACTAAAACTCCAGATGCCAATGGACTAGGAGGATATGGAAATGTTGGAACTACTAAAACTCCAGATAATGCTGGACCAGGAGAATATGGAAATGTTGGAACTACTGAAACTCCAGATAATGCTGGACCAGGAGGATATGGAAATGTTGGAACTACTAAAACTCCAGATGCTGCTGGACTAGGTGGATATGGAAATGTTGGAACTAATAAAACTCCAGATAATCCTGAACCAGGAGAATATGGAAATGTTGGAAATACTAAAACTCCAGATAATCCTGGACTAGGTGGATATGGAAATAGTGGAACCACTAAAACTCCAGATAATGCTGGACAAGGAGGATATGGAAATGTTGGAACTACTAAAACTCCAGATGCTGCTGGACTAGGTGAATATGGAAATAGTGGAACTACTAAAACTCCAGATATCAATGGACTAGGTGGATATGGAAATGCTGGAACTACTAAAACTCCAGATAATGCTGGACCAGGAGGATATGGAAATGTTGGAACCACTAAATCTCCAAATAATCCTGGACCAGGAGAATATGGAAATGTTGGAAATACTAAAACTCCAGATGCTGCTGGACTAGGTGGATATGGAAACGTTGGAACTACTAAAACTCAAGATAATGCTGGAGTAGGTGGATATGGAAATGTTGGAACTACTAAAACTCCAGATGCCAATGAACTAGGAGGATATGGAAATGTTGGAACTACTAAAACTCCAGATGCCAATGGACTAGGAGGATATGTAAATGTTCCTACTGTTTCAGCTTGTGATGTATGTCCTGGTATTGTATTGCAGAATTCACAGTGTCCTTGTATGTTTGGATTATATTGGACTGGTACTGGGTGTGTACCAAGAGAGAACTGTGATTGTGTTCTTGGAGAAATAAGGTTGGTAAACTTGGTTTATTATATCAGATCAGAAAACTAATTCATTGAACCCTCATTTTTTACGCTACTGTCTCTATAGTTGACAGATTCTTTATCCTGAATAAACTGGGCACAACAAGTTTCTATATTTTCCTTCGCTGGTTCAAGTTTATCTTGGTGTGAATGTGAGATAGTTGAACCAACCTTAGCTGGTTCAACAACTTTTCTTTCCGTTATGAATTCCGTCATCCTTGACTCAAAATCTTTAGAAATATATTTTTCAAGGTTTTCAAGAAACGTAACTGTGATGAATGATAACTGTGATGAGTGTCTCTGTATGAAGGATGGAGTCGCGCATTGTAAACCAAAGGTTTGTCCTCCCTGTTCGTCGGGTTTGCGTTCTCAGCTCACCCTGGACTGTTCTTGTATCTGTAAGCACTGTGAGCCAGGGAGTACGATCTGTCCCAGTTCTCAAACTTGTGTTCCTGTAGAGAACTGGTGTGATGGTATTGAACATTGTCCTGATGATGAAATAAACTGCAGGGATACTCTAGGTAAACCGTTTAAAGCTTTGTAACATCAAGTATAAATTAGATTTCAATGTTTTTGTTTTTTAAAAGGGGACTTGTACTTAAAGATGAAACAAGTGAAAATTATTTGCCAACATTTTTTATGTGAAAATAATTTTTATTCAGACTTTAAAATTTGACTTTTATTGGACACTTGACAAAGGAATTTATCACAAACTCTAATTTCATATTCCCTATTTCTTTGCAGCCGGATGTCGTAGACCTATTTCATACTATGACTTATGTCAGAATGAATAATTTAAATTTAAATTTTGGAAGGTTTACATCTTAAGGTTGCAAAGATAATTAAAGGGATAAGAAAATTAAAGTTTGTTACAATTACTCTGTTGAAAACTAGCATCTTTTTGAATTTAAAGATGCCACACCTAAGATTTATTGAAATGTTTTTGGACCTCTTAAATCCTTAATATTAATGTAGATTGTTAAGTTTTAAAAAAAAAATTACCATCTTTTCAAAAATGAAACAATTTCTTTAAATAATGTTTACATCTTTATATTCTAGAGAAGGAAAAGGAAGAGCTATCATTCTCCGGTCTACCCTGCCCTAAACCCTCCTGTCCTCCTGGGAAGAAGATCAGGGAGACGGAGATAGAAACCCTGGACGGATGCACATTTTACAAATGTGTTGAAGAGGAGGAAACTGATGTTTGTTCTATTCCATCCTGTCCTACTGGATACACGGCTAGGATAGTCGGAGATAGATCAGCTAAACTCATAGATTCAAATCCTCAAATCAGTCCTGAGACAGAATCATCTCCAAGGTATAAACGGTATGCGGAGCTACTTGAACCCAACTGTCCGGAGTATGAATGCGTCCCTGATCCAAGAGTTACTCCGTCTGTTCCAACCAAGCCTCAGATGTGTACGCTAGAGGGCTCGACCATCAAAACTTTTGATAATCTAACCCTGGTTCATGATATTTGCTTTGTTCAGCTTATCAACAGTCCTGAAGACAAAACCTTAATACGATGTAAGTTTTTAAAATATTTTAATTTATTTCAATCCTAATCCTGGAATTCTATTAAGATAAAAAGGATTGCTCTGGACAAGTCTGCAGTAAGTTCCTGATCCTGAATATCCAGGACGAGGAACTAGTACTGAGGACGGATCTCCGGGTTGTGTGTAAGAGTAACGAATATACAGGAGAAGAAGCTTCAAGGTTTGCTGAATCAAGATCCTACTCTATCAACTCAGTTGGAGACTCTTTACTCATCAAACTAAGATCTGGTAGAATACAGATTGAATGGCAATCAAATGGGGGATTTTCAATCATGGTAGGTTTGATTTTATTTTAAATGATTTTTACGAAGAAAAGATTGGGATTAAAAATTTTCTGCAAATTTTTTTCCAAAAGAAATTTTGTCTGTCACGCAAACTAGGATTTTCTAATCCCTATATCTTTGCATTCCAACGTTGTATCTACCTTAGATATGTCATACTACAGTGATAACTAGAAAACTCAGAAATAGGAAGACGACTTGAAAGCAATAAATTAGTGTATTTAATATTGTTACAAAGCAAATAATTTTACTAAAAACTTGTGAAGTCATTAATTAAGTTAAATGTTTACACTGCTCATTTGCTGATTCCCATGCTTATGGGACTGTTAAAAGTCATAACTTGAGTCTAAAAGTCGTCTTCCTATTTCAGGGTTTTCTGTATTATATTTGTATATTCAAGGTTACTTCTGATCTGAGTGGTATTATAACTGGTTTATGTGGAAATGCTAACGGTTTGGATGAAGACGATTGGTCCCTGCCGAATGGTATGAAGACGACCTCTACTCCAGATCTATACAGTAGTTGGAGTGTACCTGGATACAAGTGTGTTAATCCAACCTGTCCTAGACAAATCACCGATATCGCCCATAGACTATGCAAAACAGTCAGGTATTGTAAATAATTAAAGAAAAAATGGTTTTGCTCCAAACTATGTACAAGTAGTATTTTCTTTCGTTCAATTATTTTTGTGTACAGTCTTTCCCATAATTATCACGCCGTGCCAAACCAAATATAAGTTTAAATCTGAAAGGACTGTTGCCATATTTTCAAGGAACCTTCTATTTATAGAGTGGTATGTTACTAGCTTGACTTATAATCTCTAGGCTCCCTCCTTTGAACAAGTGTTCAAGTCTAGTTCCAGGTTCAGAGTTCCTGAATATATAATAATATATATTTAATATATAATATATTTTTATATTTAATAATACAAATGGTTTCAGATGTCTCGATCCTCATTAGTCAATATACATGCTTAAACTGATGTTTCACAACAATAATTATATGTATACATATATATATAAATACATGTATTTATATAAATCTGATTTATATTTATACATATATTTAATCTCTAGGTTCCCTCCTCTAAACAAGTGTTCAAGTCTAGTTCCAGGTTCAGAGTTCCTGAATATCTGTCTCCAGCAGACCTGTGAGTGCTTACTAGAGACGGACGGAGATGAGAGAGGGTGCAAGTAAGATTTACCATCCTCATGCAACATATGCTTTATATATAATTTGCCGATGTTTTATTATATTTTTTAATGCTTCATGGGAATTTTGCAACGTTTAATGAGAATGTTGCGATGTTATATTTTAATGTTGCATTAATGTTTTGTTGTTGTTGTAAATTTGCAGTACTTTACCACAATTTTCAATTTGTTTACTGAAATTGCAATTCATTTTTAAAAATTTAGATGCAAGGCAATGGAACTGTATGTGAAGAAATGTAAAGCTGTGAACCCTAGTATTCATTTACAAGACTGGAGAACTACACATTTATGTCGTAAGCTTTATTTTGATTTATGTATGAAAAGCAAATTTTCATGTTCTATCCTAAAAAGCGTTTAATTCTGACAACGTAAGTGAGTTTTTGGATCCTTATATTTTTTCCAACCCAATGTCGTAGACCTTTTATATTTTTAACTAAGAATTTTGAAAGATCAAGTATTCTGAGTTTGAAATAAAAAAGGACCCTTGGTTGAGATATAGAAATTAGAAAATTTGAGTTTGAGGCAAAATATTCAACTTTTAAAAATGAAATAACGCCTACAGTCCCTTTAAACCCTGTCTATTTAGCGTCCCACTGTCCTCCTGGTTTGGTGCCTACAGCTCCTTTAAACCCTGTCTATTTAGCGTCCCACTGTCCTCCTGGTTTGGTGCCTACAGTACCTTTAAACCCTATATATTTAGCGTCCCACTGTCCTCCTGGTTTGGTGCCTACACTCCCTTTAAACCCTGTCTATTTAACGTCCCACTGTCCTCCTGGTTTGGTGCCTACAGTTACTTTAAAACCTGTCTATTTAGCGTCCCACTGTCCTCCTGGTTTGGTTCACTACGACTGTTTCCATCACTCCTGTGAGCTGACCTGCTCCAACCTCAAGAGTTCTGAACCCTGTCCTGCTCTCCAGGACGGGATCTGTTTCCCAGGTTGCTTCTGTCCGACAGGACTGGTCAGGGACGGAGATATCTGCAAAGAACCTTCAAAATGTCGGAACTGTAAGTTTACAATAAAAACTGTTTTTTTGCATTTATTTCAATAAATTGTCGATCAAGTTAAATTAACATGAATAGTTTTTATCTTATAAAATTTTTCTATCGTTAAATTTGTTTGTTTTATTGATTTTAGTTGTGAATAATAACAATTGCATCAAAAAATTAAACTTAAATATTCTTTCTCAGTAAAAAAAGAAAATATACAAACGTCAGAACTGATCAAAAATTGGAAGATCAGACGACAAAAAAAAGTAAGAAAGAAATTTAAAAAAGCTATTTTCTTAGGTGTGTGCAGTAAACACGGTAGTATTAGCTACTCAACCTTTGATGGAAAAGCATTTAAACTTTCACCTGAAAGATCTTATGTAATGAGTCGTGTCCCAAACCAAGAAGGAGGATTTGATCTGGAGATTATTGCAACTACCCAGGACTGCTCTATCAACGCTAGAAAGAAAGTTTGCATAAAGAAGGTTGAGGTTTGGTTTGGAGATCATAAACTTGAAGTTCAAGCTGGAGAAAATCATGTTAGTATTTTGAAAAATATTCTTTTCATTTTTCTTTAATCATTTTACCTTTTTAAACAGTTAATATTATACTTCTTGGACACCCAGCTTTCCCTGGAAACTGTACTTTCTCTATAAAAGTCAACCCAATCAACTTTAAAACCAATTCTACAGAGCTCCCACTATCAAAATTTGAGGCAGATCGGTAAAGGGTACCTGAGTCATGATACAAATTACCACATTATATTTTCTACTTATAAGGCTGATTTATTGATTGACGGAGTTCAAGCACAATCCTTCCACAAACTTCAGCATGGATTTCAAGTTAAACAACCAACCCGGAGTACTTTACTCATCCTTCTCCCAACCCTACAGCATGAGATAGAACTGGACTTTGCAGTATTCGATCTTACTATACGTGCTCCATACTCACTTTACTCAGGGAAACTAGAAGGACTATGCGGTAAAATCATTTTAAAAAGTTAGGATTTTCTTAAAAATAAAAAATTGTTTTTTTTTCAGGAAACTGTAATGGAGATGAAACCGATGATACTAAAACTGCAACTGGGACAATATCCTTTGATGATGATTTCTTTGTAAATTCTTGGATTATATTCGAGGATTCAGAAGCATCAACATCTCCATCTGTTGAAGGTTTGTATAAACCTCAGACAACTCCGCTACCTGGATACGGGAGAACAGTCAGTCAGGTTCCAGTGACTCAGGGTACTAGTACACCTACTCCAGTTATACCTGGAGCAGGATATGGAGTACCATCAGAAGTTGTGAATCCAGTTTTTGATATTTGTCCTGAAAACATCACAAGTCTATGCAATGCCCTCCTTCATGCATCCTTCTCCAAGGTTTATATCATAACCAATAAATTTGATAATAATGGTAACAATAATCATAATAATACTGTTTAGTGCCATCCAATAGTAGAGCCTGTAAGCTACCTAGAAATGTGTAAGAATGATATTTGTGCTGAACCTGATCATGAAGATGTACTCTGCGAGGTTGCAGACGAGTATGCTAAACACTGCCTGGAGAAAGGAATCTGTTTAGAGTACAGGAGCACCCTGAGCTGTTCTAAACCTTCCTGTGGAGCAGGAAGTGAGCACCAGGAGTGCGGAGCAGGTTGTGATCCAACCTGTGATCAGGAATTCTGTAATACTCCAGCTAGACCAGGATGTAGATGTAGTAAGGATATGGTGAGCAGTTCAACTAGATTTTATTCAGCAAGAGATTATACGATTTACCAAAAGCTTCACATTTCTTAGTGGAAACCTAGATGACTAAAGAATGTGGAAAGAATAAGTATTTTTCATGTCCAAAGTTTATTAGGCTCTAAATCGTCACTAAAATGTTTTAAGCTTCTTGAATGTAAAGAAAACGGATGAAATGGGAAAACATTTTTCTTAATATTTTCTTTATAATTCCATCCGATATTGAGAAAATCTCAAGATTATTTAAAATATATTCATCCATTAACTACATCTTGACATCTCTATTCTCTAGGTTATGATTGATGGTGAGTGTCGACCTAGAACTGAATGTGTATTCTGTACTGTCGGATACGGAACAGTAAAACATGCTGGGGAAGTGTGGATGGAGGATGTATGTACAAACTGTACTTGTGCAGGTTAATTATAAAATAAAATTGCAATTTTCCACCAAAAACACTGATCAAAAACTTAGAAAGGACTTATACAATGACATGTCTGATTCACAACGGTATCCTTGATATGTTTGTATGATCAAGAATGCGTGAGACATCTATAATCTTCTCTTTGAAAATTGATTATATTTAATTGTGGTTTGTGGCGGCTATGAAAGTCGTCTTTCCTTGAAGAACTTCTCGCGGCAAGGAGAAGAATAGGGGAGTTTCTAGAAGCCACGAGATATATATATTTTTCTAACTTTGTAACTTTATATTTAAAATATAGTTAGTCGTTATCTAAATCCTCGTCTTATTGCTATCCGCCAAATTGGTGACCCCGGACTAGTGAATACGTTTCTTTATAAGTCCAAAGTTAAACAACCCACCGCGTTGTATTTTTCCACCTAAAACTCAGTGTTTTGAGTTAGTGTCCTGTTTTGCTCGCTAGTATTATTTTCGGCTGAAAAGTGAACCAGCCTCCCTGTTTTCTCCACAGGCTATCACAGTAAGCGAAAACCTTGCTCGACAGTGCTTTCTTTTTCAGCGTCACGATGCCTGGAGATCCAGCTTTGAGCACAGGCGCGTCAAGCCAGTTGGATTCCTCTCCCAGCCAGCTCTATGCAGTTGCTCTGAAACTGCCTGTTTTCTGGCCTGACAGCTGCGAATCCTGGTTCATCAACGCTGAGTCCCAGTTCCACCTCAAGAATATCACCAGCAGTATCACCAAGTTCCATCATGTGGTTGCATCTCTACCACAGAACGAGATAGATAATGTTGTAGA